TTTGACCTCTAACCCCTTGTTTGGTTACCTCAAAATAGTACTGTACCCTTCGATGAGTTTGACCTTTTACTTTGCAGACTTAAACCCTTCTATGGTACCTAACAGATACCTAAACATGTCCTATGATCAAGAACAGTTTCAAGCGGGTTTCTTCTCAACACATCATCGCAGCATTATGGTTCAGACACCACACTTGTAAACTGCGACCAGCAAAAGTAAAGTAATATTATTACTTTTTTAAGCACTAATAAGTAACTAGTAACTTGCACAACTAGTAATTTCTAACTTGCTCAACACTGAGAGAGACAAACCCACAGATAATTATCACCAGACTTTGCAGTTCTTTAGTTCAGTTTTCTGCATTAACACAATCTGTTCGGATATACTAGTAATTTACACGATTTAAAAAGTAAATAGATGTATAATCTTGCATTATTAACAATGATACTATGATACTATCTTCATGGGTCTGTGAGTTTTGTTTTCAAGTGTGTTAGAACTATAATGTAGAAATTAACTGCAATTCTTCATTAATCCACAAGATAGAGCTGCAACAGAAAAATATTTAAATAAGTGTTAATCTGCAGTTACGTTGTCATAAACATAACTAATCTGCAGAGGCACTTTGGGTTCAGAATATCTGAATTGAAATAGAGTCCACGTCCAGGTCCAGGTCCAGGTCCAGGTCCAGGTGGAGGAGGTGGCTCTGTGGAGCAGAAAGAGTGGAGGAGTCTCAGTGTGTCTGCAGAGACTGTGTAGAAGGACAGAGCAGCAGCAGAGCAGTCCAGATACACTGATGATACTCTGTCACATCCAGAGGAACACACAGGGATGATGGTGGACTTGACTTTGTGTCTGACAGTGGAGCTGATCTCAGAGCAGTTCAGACTGCAGCACTGTTGTGATTCCTCTGTCAGTCACTGCTGGATGAAACTCTCCTCTCCACTCTACCTCCCAGTAACAAGGCCCAGTCAGAGCCTCTCCACACACAAGCTGATGTTGCTGCTTCAACCTCTCTGGATCATCAGGACACAGCTGATCCTCTCTCAACACCACCTTTCTCATCACTCACTCTCTGACAGAGATCACCACTTCCATCTGATGAGAGAAGAAGACAGAGAGCAGAAGTCATAAATCAGAGTTTACAGAGACTTCCTTTATCAGCAGTCAGTCAGTGATGCAGCACATCACATTTATGATGTTAAAGGTCCTTCATACAAAGACTGAAGACACTTCAGCAGAGGTTCAGGTCTGTAGAAAGACCACATGGTTACTAGATGTAATGATGGTTCTCTGAATTAAGCACCAGTGATTTGCAGGCTTCAGTCAGACTGATCTCAGAGCTGTGACAAAGATGAACTGATCAGTTGTTTAGAATGGAAATGAGAGAACAGCTTTATTTCCTGTAGACATGAACACAACAGCAACAGTCGTCTTCACATAAACTCAAACACATGACCACAACAAGCTTCTGGCTGATTTGATTGGCTGACTCTCTCTCTCTCTCTGTCTTTCTGTCCAATCCTGAAGCCTGTCACCATCCTCCTCTCACATCTTCAGTGAGGAAAGCAGCCACTGAGAAGGTTGGCGGTTTATATGAAATACTGGATCTCTGCTTTGATTCTAACTGTGTTTAGTACAATACTGCTGCAGTGTTTCCCACAGACTGACAGTGTAACTGTGGCTGAAACCAGCATGGACTGACTCCAAACCTCTACTGACCTCAGAGTCTCCAGCCTACAGTGTGGACTCTCCACAAGATCAGACAGCAACTTCACTCCTGATTCCTGCAGGTTGTTTCCCCACAGCTGCAGCTCTCTCAGATGGGAGGGGTTGGACTTCAGAGCTGAGGCCAGAGAAGCACAGCTGATCTCTGACAAACTGCAGAAATTCAATCTGAATAAAGAATAAATTAAATAACTTTAGAAGACAATATTCCTGCTTGGAATCATCAGTGTTTAATAATATGTTCAGCGCTACCTGTATAAGATAGAAAATATTTATTTTGGCTGCTGGTTTAGAGAAACGGGCTGTGGCCACTGCCTGCAAAACCATTCCGTTTTTGTAGGTTGTCTCGCTGTTGCCTTTCCAGTGCACCTGTTCTCACGTACATTTGCACCAAACAGGTGACATTGATGAACAATTGCTTTTGCATCCTAACTGGACAGATTGATGTCCCTGAAATCCAATTAACTTTATGTTATCCTTGTTTGTTTGTTTTTGAGAAGTTAATTCGTTATTGACATAGAGATTATTTATTGATTCATTGTATTTATGCATTATTATAATCTATTTAAAACACATGGTGAATAAAAGCTGAAAATCAGGAGTTTTAAAATTCAGAGTGAATTATCTAGTGTAGAGTTTTCTCGTCATATTAAGGTTTTAAATGTGGAGCTAAACATTGCTCTGCCACAATCAATGGAATAAACCACTGAAAAAGAAAAAAGACTTCAGCATTAAGATACTAGGTACGGATCAGTATAATATCAGCCTTATGTCGGCAGATTAGTGTGACCAAATACGTCACATCATAATAATCTCAGCACAGAAGGAAAAAATGGTGTCTGACCTCAGAGTCTCCAGTCTACAGTGTGGACTCTCCAGAAAATCACACAGCTGCTTCACTCCTGAATCCTTCAGCTTGTTGTGACTCAGCTCCAGCTCTCTCAGATGGGAGGGGTTGGACTTCAGAGCTGAGGCCAGAGAAGCACAGCTGATCTCTGACAAACTGCAGCGCCACAATCTGAATAAAGAATATAAATGATGTAAGTTTAAAAGACAATGTTCCTGCCTGAAATGATTCAGTGTTTAATAATCTGTTCAGAGTTAATGAAGGTTTAGAAAGTAGAAGTTTAGAAATGGAAACTCCAAACACCTGAACCAACAGGATGCAGGTTAAAAACTGTAAAATACAACAAAATACAAAAAGGTAAAAAGAGCTCTCATTAATATTAATGACAACATGATGCTACTTCAATAAAGATGTAGTGACTTCACCTCCTAAACTCTGCCGCTCCACCAGTGACTCCATCTATACAAACTCATGTTGTGCAGCCAAACACAAATAAAAACCCACAGACACTGATTTAAGAATCGACTCAAGATCCTCAAGTTTCCAAAGATGCCAAATATGTCAGGATGAATTTTGTGGAAATGTGAACAAAAGACATCTACAATATTTATTTTATGAATAGGGGAGTCATAAAATCAAAGCGCCTTCATTTTAAAGTATTCAGTCAGTATAAGCATCATATAATGATACTCCTAGCTTCATAACAATGTTGTAAAAAGCAAATACTGAATATATTTGTTAATGCCTGATAGTTGAAGCAGAGGTTAGTTTTATATTCATTGTATTTATGTATTTATTATTACAATGTATTTAGAAAAATAGAGAATATAAGATGAAAATCAGGTGTTTAAGAGGTTCAGAGTGAATTATCTAGTTTAGATTTTTCTTGTTATATTAAGATTTTAAATTTGTAGCTGAACATTGCTGACTCATTTGTAGGGGCGTGATGAGACCTCGTGCCAAGAGACTCCCAGAGCAAATCAACTCTGCCCAGCTGATGTGACACTAGTGGACTGCGTGATAGTAATCAATTTAACCTGCTCTTGCACTGTGAGTCCAGACAGTTGGGACCAAGTGGTAAATAACTGGTATAGTTTTGCAATATGATCATCTAAAAACTGAAGTGCTACCTACTCTTTTTGGGACTGTGAACTGCATTTTATTGGAGGTACAGAAGTTAACATGTGTGCAGATTTGTGGTAAGATTTCTGCCTGTTTTCAGTTAGTATTGGTTTCTAAACGGTCAAGGGCAGGTCGAGCTTTAACAAAAATGATAAATACTATTAAATGATGACATTATTTTCACAATATTTTGACTTTTACTGGACTTGTCAGAGAACACAAATATGTTACAGAGATTTTGAATGTGCAGAAAGTTTTGAACAGAAGCAGAAAATCTGCTGAAACACAGGAGCTATTAAAATCCAGGAGTTTAACTGAATTAAAATGAATTTATTTATTATTGAGGTGAAATGTTCTACATGCACATTTAAAAAGGTTACTTCCCCAAATAAAACACAAAAGAGGAGGACAGACTAAATCATGTCTGCATGTGTGTTGACTCAGCAGGGATGATATTACATTAGAAAAGTTGATCTACAGGTGCAAGAGAGCCTTACTGCATTATATTTTATCATATTTTGAATTGTCACCCGCCACCTGAATTTTGTGTTTGTCCTTATTAAATAAAATCAATTCCTCCATAAATTAGAGCAAAAAAAATCACAAGTATGCAGGAAATTAAGTGTTTAATGCTCAAAATTTTCATATAATTCAGCATTGAAGATTACTTTAGGAAAGTGTTCTTGTCTCAATCTCGTGAACACAGAGTCTTGTCACACCCCTACTTGTGAATGAGCCATGTAAACAATTTACCATTTCTGCACAATCACACCTGATACAACTTATGAAGCCATTTTAATGAACCTTGTCAAATACAAATGACAAATTTTGTATTTCAAATACATATTTGAAATAAGTGTATCATAAATACTGCACATCCCTCTAATCAGCTTTATGTTGGCAGTTTTGTGTCACTACAACTTTTACATCATATTAATCTCAGCACAGAAGTAAAAAAAATGGTGTCTTACCCCAGAGTCTCCAGTCTACAGTGTGGACTCTCCAGAAAATCACACAATAGCTTCACTCCTGAATCCTGCAGCTCGTTGGAGTTCAGCTCCAGCTCTCTCAGATGGGAGGGGTTGTACTTCAGAGCTGAGGCCAGAGAAGCACAGCTGATCTCTGACAAACTGCAGGAACTCAATCTGAATAAAGAATAAATTATGTAATTGTAAGTAGAAGGTTAGAAAATGGAAAGTCCAAACACCTGAACCCAACAGGTTAAAAACTGTAAAATACAAAAAAGGTAAAAAGAGGGCTGCTACTTCAATAAAGACGTAGTGAGTTCACCTCTTAAACTCTCCAGCTTCACCAGTGGCTCCATCTATACAAACTCATGTTGTGCAGCCAAGCACAAATAAAAACCCACAGAAACTTATTTAAGATTCGACTCAAGATCTCAAAGTTTAAAAAAATATGTTGGGATTGATTTTGGGGAATTGTAAACATCTACAACAAAAGACATCTACAGTACTTCTTTTAGGAATAGTGGAGTCATAAAATCAAAGCATCTATAAATTTAAACTATTCAACCGCAAGTTTTTTTTACCCTCTCCTTCTTGTGCCTCCATTGAGACACAGTCTCTTTAACAAAGGAGTACTGTTGTCCAATGTACAGTTCATTAAGTGGAATGGGCACTGCTGACTGTTTAAAGGAGCTGAAATTCACAAACTTTGTTAATTGTGTCAATCTTCATTAAGTGGAACAGACACTTACTGTTAAAGGTGGCACAATTCCTGAAGTTTACCTTAATAGTGTCACTGAAAGTACTAGGTTTAATTGTGCAACTCTACTGTGTTACTGGGAAAGGAAGTAGAGTGAATTATTTACCCATTATTTTCATTGTAATGTGCCTTAACTCAACGCTGGGTTGGCCCTAAATAAATGTGTTTTGTTACTGTTCACCATTCCATCAGCTCTGTCTGTCAGTTAGGGTGAGAAGGGAAGTTGTAAGGGAGGGTTGGCCTACACATCCACATGGTTCACATAGACTCAGATCTAGCAGTCATGTCACCTAAATAAGATGGAATTGCTTTGCTGATGGGTTTAGTTTTGCCCATCAGTATAATATCAGCCTTTTGTCTGTAGTTTAGTGTCAACACAACTTTCACATCATTTTAATCTCGGCACAGAAGTAAAAAGTGGTGTCTGACCTCAGAATCTCCAATCTACAGTGTGGACTCTTCAGAAAACCACACAGCTGCTTCACTCCTGAATCTTGCAGCTTGTTGTGACTCAGCTCCAGCTCTCTCAGATGGGAGGGGTTGGACTTCAGAGCTGAGGCCAGAGAAGCACAGCTGATCTCTGACAAACTGCAGTCCAACAATCTGAAATAAATATGCAGATATAAATCAATTTATTATCCAATAAGATGTGTTCATGTTTTAAATGTGGAGCTGAACATTACTATGTCTGAATCAATGAGCTTTTCCCTAAAATGAGTAGAGGGACTTAATTAATATGGATCATCATAGTGTCAGCCTTTTACAGAGATCATCCAAATGTCAGCACAACATTCATACACCTTCATGTCAACACAGATTAATAACATGCTTCTGACCTCAGGCCAATCTGGAATAATGATAAGACATGCTACTTCTGTTACTTTCATTTCCTTGTATTTCTTCTAATACATAACAATCATGTATCATTTTATGACAAAAATTAAGACAGATATTTTTCTGAAAATGGTTTCAAAATGGTGAATTGGAAATTAATAAAACTTTATGTACATTAAGTAAATACCAAACTTTACAGACCTCTTTAACACCAGTCCCAACACTTCTAATGCCCATTTCAAATCACAGATTTTGACTCTCCTCATCACCACTGTCATCTTCATCAACATACAGTTGACTGAGTGTGGGCTGGATCAAATGTGCACTGAGTTCTGTTTATATACCTAAAGGATTATTAGGAACACCATACTAATCCTGTGTTTGACCCCCTTCCGCCTTCAGAACTGCCTTAATTCTACGTGGCATTGATTCAAGGTGCTGAAAGCATTCTTTAGAAATGTTGGCCCATATTGATAGGAGAGCATCTTGCAGTTGATGGAGATTTGTGGGATGCACATCCAGGGCCACCACATCCCAAAGATGCTCCATTGGGTTGAGATCTGGTGACTGTGGGGGCCATTTTAGTACAGTGAACTCATTGTCATGTTCAAGAAACCAGTTTGAAATGATTGGAGCTTTGTGACATGGTGCGTTATCCTGCTGGAAGTAGCCATCAGAGGATGGGTACATGGTGGCCATAAAGGGATGGACATGGTCAGAAACAATGCTCAGGTAGGCTGTGGCATTTAAACCATGCCCAATTGGCACTAAGGGGCCTAAAGTGTGCCAAGAAAACATCCCCCACACCATTACACCACCACCAGCAGCCTGCACAGTGGTAACAAGGCATGATGGATCCATGTTCTCATTCTGTTTATGCCAAATTCTGACTCTATCATCTGAATGTCTCAACAGAAATCGAGACTCATCAGACCAGGCAACATTTTTCCAGTCTTCAACTGTCCAATTTTGGTGAGCTCTTGCAAATTGTAGCCTCTTTTTCCTATTTGTAGTGGAGATGAGTGGTACCCGGTGGGGTCTTCTGCTGTTGTAGCCCATCCGCCTCAAGGTTGTGCGTGTTGTGGCTTCACAAATGCTTTGCTGCATACCTCGGTTGTAACGAGTGGTTATTTCAGTCAAAGTTGCTCTTCTATCAGCTTGAATCAGTTGGCCCGTTCTCCTCTGACCTCTAGCATCAACAAGGCATTTTCGCCCACAGGACTGCCGCATACTGGATGTTTTTCCCTTTTCACACCATTCTTTGTAAACCCTAGAAATGGTTGTGTGTGAAAATCCCAGTAACTGAGCAGATTGTGAAATACTCAGACCGGTATAGGTGAGTGTGTATATATATATATATGTGTGTGTGTGTGTGTTTGTGTGTGTGTACAGAGAGAGAGAGAGAGAGACACTCCATTTGAGCTTTCAACTACTCAAAATATGTTGATCTCTCATTTACCTATCTAGTATTTGCTAAAACTGTTTGTAGAGTGGGGAAGCTGCTTACAGTCTCCTAAGCATATCTATAAGCACATAATAGGTATTAAAATGTAGCCACAAGCCTTTTCTCTCTCAAAATGACAACATCTTCCTCAACGGAGGTTAAGTTTTATAGATTTAAACTTTAATTGATAGGTAACCCACAGTCGTGGTCTTATTGACTCCTGTACTAACTGCAGGCTGAGTTCTCCTCTTCTCATCAATTTGTTAACTTGCACTGTCTTCCTTTATGTTTGGAGTGTGAATACATGATGTTCTTCCTTCTAATAAACCAGACAAATACTTATATTACTACTTCTACTATTACTATTACTTATACTACTGCTACTACTTCTACGTATTCAATGTAGTGATGAAACACGCTCTGTAGAGTAGTTTGTCTGTTTGGGCTGCTGTAGACACATGGCAGCGCAACATGGAGATGTCCGTGCAAGGAGTCCCGCAGTGCATGTAAATAGACATGGCTCATTCTAAGGTAATGAAAACATAAGTACATGTAATATCCCAATATGAATACAATAGGTAAAAAGCACATTAAAAATTCTTTAGGTGGACACAGACATAAGTGCTACGAGCTGATCTGAAACTCTTAGTGGCTGGAAATGTTTTAATGTCTGTGAGTGTCTGAGGTGCAATTCTGTTTCCAGACCAGCCAAACTGTTGGGTTTTTATATTTGTGGTTCTTTGTTCCTTTCTACTTTCTGCTGGAGTTATTTTAAGAACTTTGATGGCTTTATCCAGTTTGTTAATAAATTCGTTATGAATTATGAATCTGTGTCTCTACTTCTTACTGTACTAAAAAGCTATTTTTAGTGGTCACGCATGCTGTTTATCGTTATTTTCCAGTCAAATTTGAAATACATATACATTTTGCTCATAGGATAGTGACGCTACATTGTATGCCTTTTACATCAGCTGATTAATATCCCAAATCTTTGCAGGTCTTTAGACTGCGATGGAAACCCACACAACACACACACAACTATGGGCTGAAGGAACCTTTTAATTCCTTGAAAATTACAGCTCAAGATTAAAAGACCAGAGGCCTGTTTCAGAAAGCGGGTTTAGTGAAAATTCTGAGTAAGTTGAGCCCGAGATGAGGGAAAATCTGGGTATTCGGTTTCAGAGAGCAAGATCAGATAAACTCAAGGTCTGTAACCCCGGCAACTTATGCTGTGAACCTAACCTGCTCAGGAGGAGGTTTACTTCAGCAAACGCTGAGTTTCTCTCTGACTCCTGCCCTCCTGTGGAGCCTGATGCGGCCGTGTGACATTTCCTCATTCAGACTGTTGATATCAAAGCACATATTGGAACACAGTTATGTCTATAAGCTACACTGTCCTTCTTTATAACACAGTGACTCTGTGGACATTAACGCAAAAAACATACTGTGCGCTACAGTGCTGAAGTTTAAAGTAGGATCATCTGTACAAAACTGATCAATGACTTATCAATAATATCTGTAATCTGTAATATTTTAATTTTCAGTTATTATTACCATGGTTGCCATGGTGAATCATAGTATCGGAGCTCCATTGATGATGGCTTTTTTTCATCCGCACGCACGTGCTTCCATCAGGCTCAACATACTCAGAGTTGATTGAACTTATTCTGATCGGCCTTTCTGAAACGGAAAACTCAGAGTTTGACAGCTCAGAGTTCGTCAACCCAGAGTTCAGGTTTACACTCAGAGTTTGTTGAACCTGCTTTCTGAAACAGGGCCCTGAAGTATACACACACTGGCTCAACTATCCATTCCTCTGCAGATCATCCAGACATCTCAGCGGTCTTCACGCTTCGGCCGACCTTAGAAACTTGACTCTGTATGACTATTTTTTCCTGACAGCACTTGTTCTAAATAAACCTCTGTGATTTTAACTTTTAACTTCAGATTCCATGTCTGCATCTGAATCCACATAAGTACATGCCTTCATGGTATCACCTGTCAGTGGTGACAGATCAGACAGCATACTTCAAGCAGCAGCATTTGGAAATATGCTTCACATTTTGTCTCTGCACTGCAGTATGTGAGTGTGTGTGAGAGAGAGGGTCTTTATGGATATATGTATCCTGTATGGTAAATGTATCCTGTAAAATATAATGTTATGTATAAAAATACATTATTCTTGAAAATGTGTTGAACTTTAATATATGGATGTCTCACTGAAAAAGAGTAGAATATATCAACTGACCCCAGAGTCTCCAGTCTACAGTGTGGACTCTCCAGTCCAGCAGACAGAAACTTCACTCCTGAATCATGCAGGTTGTAGTTGTGACTCAGGTCCAGCTCTCTCAGATGGGAGGGGTTGGACTTCAGAGCTGAGGCCACAACTTCACAGTAAGTCTCAGAGAGTTCACAGAAGGACAGTCTGTGATAACAGAGAATATAATACTTAAAATATTATAAAATGTCACACTTTATTTTAAAAATAGATTACAGTACATTTTGCATCATAAAGTACATTAACATCAGTGTCTGTAGCTCTTTTTAAGTTTCATATCTTTCGATATCGATAATTATCACGATAAGTATCAAATCTTTATTTCTTTTGAGTTTAAAGGCAAATTTTTGCCACTGAGGGAAAGTTGAAGAAACCTGATGGTTAATTGTGGTTTAAACTCATCTTTATGGTCAACACTTGATGCCAAACAATGGATCACTTCACAAATCTGAGGTAGAACATTCAAAACAATTATGATAAAATCTTTTTCAACACATCTGCATGAGTAAAATTAAGTAAAAGCTTTTTTTCGGTCCTTTTTCTGTACATTTTTATTTGATATTCTCATCACTTGTCACTGTTTGATCGCTGCGTTCCATCACATCAATTAAAGACTTTTGTGGCGCAGCAGTGATCAGCTGATTTTACTCATGGAGCCTCCGGCTGCAGCTGTGGCTGCTTCAGATGTAGTTGGTGTGACCGTCAGGACGTGCAGACTCTCTTTGATTCTGACTATGATTGCTTCTTTAGACTCTAGTAGTTTATTGACTTGTTTAAACAGACTTCTTACTCGTTTTATACTTGTGAATGTCGCGTGTGAAGGTTTGTGACTCATCAATAAAGGAAAAAGCACTTGCGGAGATCTTTCAATTCAGTTTAATCAAAATCAAATCAGATCAAAAGATAAAAATAATAATTTTCCGTTGTTTACATTCAACAAACGTATAAAAAATTAGTTTAAATTCATCTCCCACAACTTATGTGGTCACTAAACTATTTCACTCCACACTCATGTGAATATTAAAAAAATTTGCAAGCTGTAGTCTTTCCCCATATATTACTACCTGTGAAGATTAATTCAATAGACCTGAGGATCAATCTGAAACAATTTCCCAATGGTGTTTCTTTTCATATTTACACTGATGACACACACAGATGTACATGCCCGTCAGATCCACAGACCCTGGAATACCGAGTTCACTTACCAACTGCCTCTGTGATGTCAAAAATTGAATGTGAAATAACTTCCTCCAGCAGAACTCCAGCTGAGACCCTGGTAATTGGGTCCCAGCAGATAGCAAAGCAAATACTGCCATCTGCTGGTTCCCTAGTGAATCACATCAAGCCTGTTTTTAAAAATCTTGGCGATTGGTTTGACTAATTTAACTTTTGAGCAGCACACCACAAAGCTTGTGCAATCGTGTTTTTTTCAGCTCAAAAATATACAAGAAAATATGATCAATGTAAACTTTTAAGGACACTGACACCATTTTGCATGCCTTCATCTCATCACGCCTGGATTACTGCAACAGCCTTTTTACTTGCTTGACCCAAAAATCTATTGAAGGTCCCCCAACTTTCCAGAACTCAGCTGCCAGGCTTTTAACCAGAACAAAGGAATATGTTTTAGCTTCATTACACTGGCTCCCAGTATGTTTTAGAGTAGATTTGAATTAAATAGAAATTAATTGATTTAAAGCTCTTCATGGCCTCTCACCCTGTTATATCTCTGACCTTTTAGTCCTTTATGCACCAGCATGTACCTTAAGATCCTCGAGCAGAGGTCTGCTGTCTGTTCCAGAGTCTCGACTGAAAACTAAAGGGGACAATGCGTTTGCAGTCAGGGTCCTGAGGCTTTGGAACAGCCTGCCCGAGGAAATCAGAGCAGCTGAGTCAGTGAACTCTTTTAGGTCCCTTCTTAAAACATTTTTATTCTCTTTTATTCTGTTTTATACATATTTTCTATTTCCTTTTGATGTGTACTTTAGTCTCTTAAGGGTTTTCTTGCCTTTAAATATTTTCAGCACAACTCTTAAATACTGAAGTTGGATTTGCTGCTGGATTTGTATCAGATTTGTATCAGGCCTTGATCATCCAAAGAAAGATAGTTTGAAGACAAGCAGGAAGCTTCCGGTCTACAATATGAAGCTAATGCGGAAGTCCCTGAAACCTGCATTCTATTGAAAATCCAGCAGGGGGCGACTCTTCTGGTTGCAAAAAGAAGTCAGGCTGCATTAGAAATAATGGGAAAATTACCCTACTTCTCAGCTGAATAATTACCCCAGTAAACACTTTCCTGATGAATTTATGGTCTCAGTCGCTAGTTTCATGTCAAATGATGTTCATTTAGTAAATTATGGTCCCATTAATTTTAAAATAGACCACAAAGCAGAGTATGTTTCAGGGTGGGATTATCTATTATTGACAATTCGTTACCAAGGAGACCTGTCAATCAAGCTAGAGCCGAGTTGGCTGTTCACTTTCTCTGGTGAGTACATTCGGTTTTAAGACTGTTGTTCTCAAGACAAAATTATCAGCCCTGTTAAAATGACAGTTACAGTTGCAACTAGCTAAGCCAGCTAGCTAGCTCCGCACACGGCTGTTAGCTCCGCCGTATCGTCACTTCCGGGCACTTCCTGGTTGCAAAAACTCTGGCCAAACTTGGGGCTTCAAAACGGCAGTCTACAAAACCAATGGGTGACGTCACGATGACTACGTCTATTTCTTATTTACAGTCTATGTTTGAAGATGATAGAAGATATAGATATAAACACAAAAAGGATTTTTATAGACATTTGTAGTTTAACATGTAGAATTATTTTATAAGCAGGTTCAATGCTACTTGAGGAAAATTTTAACGTTTTATATTGTGCATGTGTGTAAAGTGTGTATCTATACTCGCTTCAGATTACGTTACTTTACAGTGTTATTAATCACATCTGGACTTACAGAGCCTTTCTGCAGTTCCTCACAGCTGGAATCAGTCTCCTTCGTCCCTCTACAGATGTGTTGTACTTCTGCAGGTCCAACTCATCCAGAACCTCCTCTGACATCTGCAGTATGTAGGCCAGAGCTGAGCAGTGGATCACAGAGAGTTTCTTCTCTGATCTGTTCTTTGACTTCAGGAATTCTTGGATCTCCTGATGTACTGAGTGGTTGTTCATCTCCATCAGACAGTGGAAGATGTTGATGCTTCTGTCAGGAGAGATATGTTCACTGTTCATCTTCTTCAGGTTATTGATGGCTCTCTGGATGATTTCTAGACTGTTGTCTGTCTGACCCAGCAGGCCTCCTAAAAGTCTCTGGTTTGACTCCAGAGAGAGGCCATGAAGGAAGCGAACAAACAGGTCTAGGTGGACGTTTTTACTTTCAAGGGATTTCATCATTGCTTCCATGAGGAAGTCATCCAGGGTTGAATCAATGTGTTTTTCCCCCAGGAAGTCCTCCAGTACCTCCGTATTCCTGTTGGTGTAACAGTGGAACATGTAGACTGCAGCCAGAAACTCCTGAATGCTCAGATGAACAAAGCAGTAGACTGTTTTCTGGAAGATCACACTCTCTCTTTTGAAGATCTCTGTACAAACTCCTGAGTACACCGAGGCCTCTGTCACATCAAGACCACACTGCTCCAGGTCTTCTTGGTAGAACATGACGTTTCCTTTCTCCAGATGTTCAAACGCCAGCCTCCCCAGCTTCAGAAGAACCTTCCTGTCAGCCTTCATCAGCTCCTGTGGACTCGTCTCATGTCCCTCATCGTACTTCTGCTTCTTCCTCTTTGTCTGAACCAGCAGGAAGTGTGAGTACAGGTCAGTCAGGGTCTTGGGCAGCTCTCCTCTCTGCTCTGTAGTCAACATGTGCTCCAGAACTGTAGCAGTGATCCAGCAGAAGACTGGGATTAGACACATGATGTGGAGGCTCCTGGAGGTCTTGATGTGTGAGATGATTCTGCTGGACAGCTCTTCATCACTGACTCTCCTCCTGAAGTACTCCTCCTTCTGGGCGTCAGTGAAGCCTCGTACTTCTGTTACCCTGTCAACACATGAAGGAGGGATCTGATTGGCCGCCGCAGGTCGGGAAGTTATCCAGACGAGAGCCGAGGGAAGCAGATTCCCCTTGATGAGGTTTGTCAGCAGCAGGTTGACTGATGACTTCTGTGTGACATCAGACACAACCTCATTGTTGTGGAAATCCAATGAAAGTCTGCTTTCATCCAGGCCGTCAAAGATGAACAACAGTTTACAGACAGCGAGCTTCTCTGCTGGGACCTTCTGTAATGTTGGATGGAAAACATGGAGCAGCGTGAGAAGACTGTACTGCTCATCTTTGATCAAGTTCAGCTCCCTGAATGAAAGCAGAACCAGCAGACTGACATCTTGGTTTTCCGAGCCCTCTGCCCAGTCCAGAGTGAACTTCTGCACTGTGAAGGTTTTTCCAACACCAGCAACGCCGTTGGTCAGAACCACTCTGATTTGTCTCTGTTGGCCAGGTAAGGCTTTAAAGATGTCGTGGCACTTGATTGGAGTTTCATGGAGGGTCTTCTTCTTGGAAGCTGTCTCAAGCTGCCTCACCTCATGTTGGGTATTAACCTCTTCACTCTGTCCCTCTGTGATGTAGAGCTCAGTGTAGATCCTGTTGAGGAGGGTTCCACTTCCTGTTTCATCACTTCCTTCAGTCACACGTTCACATCTCCTCCTCAGACTGATCTTATGTTCATCTAAAACCTGCTGCAGACCACTATCTGCTGAAAGAAAAGAACACATATTCTTAGACTAAACAGAGGGCAAGTATCCAGATAAATAAAATGTTTTTGAATTTATGATATTCATGATAATATTAAAAAAACAAATGTCCTTGTAATTAAAAAAAGTCCTGTTTTCAGACATGACGACATCAGCAGACAGATGTCCAGTCTTACTTTGTACAGAGCTGCTCTGACTGGCTGTCTGCAGTCCAGCTCTCTTTCTGGATCTTTTTCCACACTGGGGACAGGAGGAGTCTTCTGGTGAAGCAGACTGGTCCCAGTATGAGGTGATGCACTGTCTGCAGAACCAGTGTCCACAGCTGGTAGAGACTGGATCCTTCAGGACGTCCTGACACAAAGCACAGCAGGACGGCTGCTCCTCCACAGAAACAGGACTCCTCTCCCTCTCTCTGTGAAGACATTTCAGTAGAACTAAAATGATTTGTTGCCTGTTTTTGAAAAATATCCAGATTTGTCCGACACTGTGTAGAAGCTCAGATGGTACAGTAAGTGTCTTTACTTTTGAATTCAGCTTTCAGTCTGTAATGAACATGATTGTTCCTTTTATTTCAACTCTCCTGCTTTCAGAAACAGTAATTAACTGATTTTCCTGTCTGACTTTCTTATTAAACATTTAATGATCTGCCTGTAGTTTATTATCAATGAATACTCAACACTTCCTGCAGCTCCTTCATAGAAAATTCCATTTACATTTAAGAAAGCTGATTATGTCCATTAAAATGTGAGTCTAACATGCGTTGCACCAGTATCCTATTGTTAAATGTAACTTTAAACAATACATTTTTCAAAATATTTAAGTTGTGAGTTAAAGATTAAACTTACCATACATACCATCAAACAGAATTAAGATAAGCAAAGCTTTTCTACAAATACTTTTGCATCACGTTGAACAATTTAATTTTATTAGGAGCCAAACAACTAAATATTTTGAAAATAAATTACACATTTGAGGAAGATTATCTCAGGTTTTGAATGGTTTTTCAGCTTTAATCTAAAAACAGTAACACTGTGAGCCCAGAACACAATAATCAAGAATCCCAACAGTGCTCATTTTGAGGACTATGAGAACTATGAGAAAATGAATTACATATTTGAAGCAGATTATTTCAGATTTTGATCTTTACAGTCATTTTCTTCAAGTGTAAATTTTAAATGGAGTTTCTCAGGTGTTTTGCTAAAAAAATAAATTGATCAATTTTAGTTTGAAACAGTATCTGCACTAAAAGTTATGCATAGTGAATATAAATCTTTTAGCACTTTGTCTTCATCCTCAATGCATCATCTTCCATCAGGTCAGTTTACAGAAAAAAAAAGGCTCTTACTTTGTGTCTGAGGGTCCAGGTTCACTACTGAAGTTTACAGGATTAAACAATTTGGACCGGTCACTCTTCAGAGACAGACAGCTGGATACTGGAGACTCTGCTCTGTCCTCCTCTTCCTCCACACAAACACTCATCTTCTGGACTTCAGTCAGTCTGAGAGGTAAAACAGTAACACTGACTGTGAGTTCAGAACACAAGAATCAAGAAAAAGAAGTTTGATCAAGAGACACAAACATGACTGAGAAAACAGAAAGTAACACACACACACTCACAAAATACATTAAATAATTGCCTCAGCCTTCAGTTTTCCTCCTTCTGCTCTGTCGACTCAAAATGGAGTCTGAACTGACTGAACACTTTCAGCTTCAGGTTCCCTCCCTGCTCTCACTTGGATCACCTGATCAGTGTTGTTCCTCCCCTCTGTATTTATGTTTTATTAGTGCTTGTATGTTTTTCCTCAAGTTGCTTTGGTTAATGTAACTATGTTTTAAGTGGTGTATAAAGATCTTACAGGAAATCAGGTGTGTGTGTTTAACCTTAAGTGTTTACATCTCTTGTCCTGAACAGGTTGAATTAATATGGTTGTTGGTCAAAATGGTGGTGATTAAATGATGTAAGGTATTTACCCCATTGATGCCACATGTGCTATTAGCTCTTACTAGTATTTATTGCTACATTTACTAGCATCTATTGTCACTTGTAGATCTCTTACTGTATTTATGTTTTATTAGTGCTTGTATGTTTTTCCTCAAATGTAAGTCGCTTTAGTTAATGTAACTATGTTTTCAGTGGTGTATAAAGACCTTACATAATGAACTGTTGTGTTTTTACTACCTCAGAATGGGTAATTTCTAACTATATACACCGCAGCTCCCTTAAAATTAAAATCGCTATGTTGGCCACCATGTTGGTCACTCTGTATGCAAGCATAAGTGACTTGAATGTGATTCAGGAGGCCATGTGTAGCCAGTGGAGGTCATGGAGTAATGTAGTGCCATGAGTCCTTTTGGGCTGATCAAAAAACAGACTCGCTGCTGCGTTCTGAGCCATTTGTAGGACAAGCCGGAAGACCTACTAGGAGGGCATTGCAATAGTCGAGGCAAGAGATAACCATTACTGTACCAGAAACTGGGTGGCATCCTGAGTGAGGTTGGGCCTGATTTTTCTTATAGAACAAAGCGGTACGACCAAGACACAGCGTTATAGCTATGGATATATATATGGCATTTCTATCAATAGATCCTCCAAAATGTTACACACTGAACATTTAACTCATAGTTCACTTAATAGCTTTTTTGGAGCTTTATCACAGTTTTTGTTTGATGTTATTTTAATTGATGTACTTTGTTGCTGCTGCTGGATGGAGGTTTGTGTCAAAGTTTTGAATTAATACGTGCAGGATTTCACAGTCTGTTTGAAATTACAGAACTTACATTGTGTCATGTTTACTTAATGTATGAGCACGATAACTAGTATTTTTCTTTTTGTGTTTTTAATTTCAAAGTTACATGACACGCAGTGTTTGAGACATATGGATGCAGTTAAAACAGAAAATGTTTTCTTTTCTTTTTTCAAAGCTTTAATGTTTAGTTTCAAACAGCAGCTAATTAAAGCAGAGTGAACATATTGCACTTTACTTGTGAGAGAGAGCCAGCGAGTATACCTTCTTTGATCATGAAGCTTTATGATCCTCTAGAATTGGCAAACGGCAAAACATTACCAGCAAACACTGAATCAGTTAGAAGCATTTGTCTTACTTTGTGTCTGAGGGTCCAGGTTCACTACTGAAGTTTACAGGATTAAACAATTTGGACCGGTCACTCTTCAGAGACAGACAGCTGGATACTGGAGACTCTGCTCTGTCCTCCTCTTCCTCCACACAATCACTCATCTTCTGGACTTCAGTCAGTCTGAGAGTTAAAACAGTGACACTGACTGTGAGTTCAGAACACAAGAATCAAGAAAAAGAAGTTTGATCAAGAGACACAAACATGACTGAGAAAACAGAAAGTAACACACACACACTCACAAAATACATTAAATAATTGCCTCAGCCTTCAGTTTTCCTCCTTCTGCTCTGTCGACTCAAAATGGAGTCTGAACTGACTGAACTCTTTCAGCTTCAGGTTCCCTCCCTGCTCTCACTTGGATCACCTGGTCAGTGTTGTTCCTCCCCTCTGTATTTATGTTTTATTAGTGCTTGTATGTTTTTCCTCAAGTTGCTTTGGTTAATGTAACTATGTTTTAAGTGGTGTATAAAGATCTTACAGGAAATCAGGTGTGTGTGTTTAACCTTAAGTGTTTACATCTCTTGTCCTGAACAGGTTGAATTAATATGGTTGTTGGTCAAATGATGTAAGGTATTTACCCCATTGATGCCACATGTGCTATTAGCTCTTACTAGTATTTATTGCTGCATTTACTAGCATCTATTGTCACTTGTAGATCTCTTACTGTATTTATGTTTTATTAGTGCTTGTATGTTTTTCCTCAAATGTAAGTCGCTTTAGTTAATGTAACTATGTTTTCAGTGGTGTATAAAGACCTTACATAATGAACTATTGTGTTTTTACTACCTCAGAATGGGTAATTTCTAACTATATACACCGCAGCTCCCTTAAAATTAAAGACGTTATGTTGGCCACCATGTTGGTCACTCTGTATGCAAGCATAAGTGACTTGAATTATAAAACGATGTGGGCTTTGTTGATCATTGGCAGACTTTCTGGGGAAGACCTGGTCTGATCCGGAGAGACGGCATCCATCCCACTTGGGAAGGAGCAGCTCTCATTTCTAGAAATCTGGCCAAGTTTATTAGTGGACCAAATCCATGACAACCCAGAGTTGAGACCAGGAGGCAGAGTCGCAGTTTAACACACTTCTCTGCCCTTCTTTTTCAGCAGTTACCCACCCAAAACCCTACGCAGAGTCGCAGTCTAACACACTTCTCTGCTCCTCCATTTCAGGAGTTACTTAGTGAAAATCCTATAGTGACGGTGTCTGCCCCCCGACCATCGAAATTATTTAAAAAGGTAAACAGAAGAGGAGCTGTGCATAAAAACCTCATAAAAATTAAAACCACAAGAGCAATAGTGCAAACGAATAGGAGAGTTAAATGTGGACTCTTAAACATCAGATCTCTCTCTTCTAAAGGTGTACTAGTAAATGAACTAATATCAGATTATGATATTGATTTATTTGGTCTTACTGAAACCTGGCTGGGTGATGGAGAATATGTTAGCCTAAATGAATCCACCCCTCCCAGTCATATTAATACTCACATTCCTCGAGGCACAGGCCGAGGAGGTGGAGTTGCAGCTATCTTCGACTCTAGCCTACTAATCAGCTCTAAACCTAAACTAAACTATAACTCATTTGAAAGTCTTGTTCTTAGTCTTTCGCACCCAAGTTGGAAATCACTGCAACCAATTCTTTTTGTTATAGTGTACCGAGCACCTGGCCCGTACTCTGAATTCTTATCTGAATTTGCAGAGTTTTTGTCAACTTTAGTCCTTAAAACGGACAAAGTTATTATTGTAGGAGATTTTAATATTCATGTGGATGTTGAGAATGACAGCTTCAGTACTGCGTTTATCTCTCTGTTAGATTCCATCGGCTTCTCTCAGAGTGTTCATGAACCGACTCACTGTTTTAACCACACCCTCGACCTTGTTTTGGTGTATGGTATTGAAATTGAACATTTAGTGGTGTTCCCACAGAATCCCTCTTTATCCGACCACTGTTTGATTACTTTTGAGTTTGTATTGCTGAACTACACGCCATTGGGCAAAAATTTCTATACAAGATGTCTGTCTGATAGTGCCATAGCTAAATTTAAGGATGCGATTCCATCAGCTCTAAATTCATTATCTAGTCACAAAGTAACGGAGGACTCCTATGCTAATTTCAGTCCCTCCCAAATCGATCATCTTGTTGATAGTGCTGCAGGCTCGCTGCGAATGACACTCGACTCTGTAGCCCCTCTAAAAAAGAAAATACTAAAACAAAGACGGTTAGCTCCATGGTATAATACTGAAACTCGCAAATTAAAGCAAATATCACGGAAACTTGAGAGGAATTGGCGTTCCACCAAAGTGGAAAATTCTCGTTTAATTTGGCAAGATAGTCTTAAAACTTATAGGAAGGCCCTCCGTAATGCCAGAGCAGCGTACTACTCGTCATTAATAGAGGAAAATAGGAACAACCCCAGGTTTCTTTTCAGCACTGTAGCCAGGCTGACAGAGAGTCACAGCTCTATTGAGCCAAGTATTCCCATAGCTCTCAGTAGTTACGATTTCATGAGCTTCTTTAATGATAAAATTCTAGCTATTAGAGACAAAATTCACCAAGACCTGCCCTCAATTGGCACCGACTTATCTCTTAACTCAGGAACCTTAGAAACAGCTGTAGAACCAGATACATGTTTAGACTGTTTTGCTTCCCTCAATCTTTACCAACTAACTTCAATAATTTCTTCATCTAAACCATCAACCTGCCTCTTAGACCCCATCCCGACTAGGCTGCTTAAAGATGTTTTACCCTTAGTCAGCACCTCTATACTAGATATGATCAATCTATCTTTATCAACAGGCTATGTACCACAGTACTTTAAAGTAGCTGTAATTAAACCTCTTCTGAAAAAGCCCAAACTTGATCCGGATGTTTTAGCCAACTATAGACCTATATCTAACCTTCCATTTCTCTCTAAGGTTCTGGAGAAAGCAGTTGCTAAACAGCTGTGTGACTTTCTACAGAGCAATAGTTTATTTGAGGATTTTCAGTCAGGATTTAGAGCTCATCATAGCACAGAGACAGCACTGGTGAAAATTACTAATGACCTCCTTATTGCATCAGACAAAGGACTTGTCTCTGTACTTGTTTTATTAGATCTTAGTGCTGCATTTGATACCATTGACCATCAGATCCTATTGCAGAGACTGGAATATTTCATTGGCATTAAAGGAACCGCTCTAAGCTGGTTTAAGTCCTATTTATCAGATCGATTTCAGTTTGTACATGTTAACGATGAGTCCTCCATGCATGCCAAAGTTACTCATGGAGTTCCTCAAGGATCTGTCCTTGGACCAATCCTCTTCACTTTATATATGCTTCCTTTAGGCAATATTATCAGGAAACATTCCATAAGCTTTCATTGTTATGCAGATGATACTCAGTTATATCTATCGATCAAGCCAGATGAAACTCATCAGTTAGCTAAACTTCAAATGTGCCTTCAGGATGTTAAAACCTGGATGACCTGTAATTTTCTCATGTTAAACTCAGATAAAACTGAAGTTATTGTTCTGGGGCCTAAGCACCTCCGTGACGCATTATCTAAAGATATAGTTTCCCTGGATGGCATCGCCCTGGCCTCCAGCACCACTGTGAGGAATCTTGGAGTTATCTTTGATCAGGACATGTCGTTTAAGTCTCACATTAAGCAAATTTCAAGGACCGCCTTTTTTCACCTACGTAATATTGCGAAAATCAGGAACATCCTGTCTAAAAATGATGCAGAAAAACTAGTCCATGCATTTGTTACTTCTAGGCTGGATTACTGCAATTCCTTATTATCAGGCTGCTCGAAAAAGTCCATTAAGACCTTCAGCTGATCCAGAATGCTGCAGCACGTGTTCTGACAGGAACCAGGAAAAGAGATCATATTTCTCCTGTTTTAGCTTCTTTGCATTGGCTTCCAGTAAAATCCAGAATAGAATTTAAAATCATTCTTCTTGCCTACAAAGCTCTTAATGGTCAGGCACCATCTTATCTTAAAGAGCTATAGTACCTTACTACCCCACCAGAGCACTGCGCTCCCAGAATGCAGGGTTACTTGTGGTTCCTAGAGTCTCCAAAAGTAGACTAGGAGCCAGAGCGTTCAGCTATCAAGCTCCTCTCCTGTGGAACCAGGTTCCAGTTTGGGTTCAGGAGGCAGACACCATCTCCACATTTAAGAATAGGCTTAAGACTTTCCTCTTTGATAAAGCTTATAGTTAGGGCTGGCTCAGGTAGTCCTGAACCATCCCTTAGTTATGCTGCTATAGGCCTAGACTGCCGGGGGATTTCCCATGATGCACTGAGCTCCTCTCTCCTCTACTTTCTCTCCCTCTGTATGCAACCTTATCCCATTATTGCATGTTACTAACACAACTTCTCCCCTTTCTGGTAGTCTTGTGCTTTCTCGTCTCTCTCCTCTCTCCTATCACTTCCTGCAGGTTTTCTGGCTCTGGAGCTGTGGAGTCTGGATCTGTGGCTGCGGGTCACCTGCTGCCCCCGTGTTCCTGCTCGGCACCCTCTACTGCAACGACTATTGTTGCTAGTCTTATTGTTATTATAATCATTAACATTACGATGGTTACCATTAACACTACTATAAATATCTGTACCATTTTTCATTTAGTCTATAGCAACATTACCTTCACTGTGTGTACCTCTTTGTGTATATTGTGTAGGCTGCCTCCCTCCCCTCTCTCTCTCCTTACATCTCTCTCTCTCTCTCTCTCTCTCTCTCACCCTCTCACCCCAACCGGTCGAGGCAGATGGCCGCCCACCCTGAGCCATGGTTCTGCTCGAGGTTTCTGCCTCTTAAAAGGAAGTTTTTCCTTGCCTCTGTCGCCTAGTGCTTGCTCTTGGTGGGAACTGTTGGGCTTCTGTAAATAACATCACAGAGTACGGTCTAGACCTGCTCTTTTATGAAAAGCGCTGTGAGATAACTGTTGTTGTGATTTGGCGCTATATAAATAAAATTGAATTGAATTGAATTGAATTGAATGTGATTCAGGAGGCCATGTGTAGCCAGTGGAGGTCATGGAGTAATGTAGTGCCATGAGTCCTTTTGGGCTGATCAAAAAACAGACTCGCTGCTGCGTTCTGAACCATTTGTAGGACAAGCCGGAAGACCTACTAGGAGGGCATTGCAATAGTCGAGGCAAGAGATGACCATTACTGTACCAGAAACTGGGTGGCATCCTGAGTGAGGTTGGGCCTGATTTTTCTTATAGAACAAAGCGGTACGACCAAGACACAGCGTTATAGCTATGGATATATATATGGCATTTCTATCAATAGATCCTCCAAAATGTTACACACTGAACATTTAACTCATAGTTCACTTAATAGCTTTTTTGGAGCTTTATCACAGTTTTTGTTTGATGTTATTTTAATTGATGTACTTTGTTGCTGCTGCTGGATGGAAGTTTGTGTCAAAGTTTTGAATTAATACGTGCAGGATTTCACAGTCTGTTTGAAATTACAGAACTTACATTGTGTCATGTTTACTTAATGTATGAGCACGATAACTAGTATTTTTCTTTTTGTGTTTTTAATTTCAAAGTTACATGACACGCAGTGTTTGAGACATATGGATGCAGTTAAAACAGAAAATGTTTTCTTTTTTAAAAGCTTTAATGTTTAGTTTCAAACAGCAGCTAATTAAAGCAGAGTGAACATATTGCACTTTACTTGTGAGAGAGAGCCAGCGAGTATACCGTCTTTGATCATGAAGCTTTATGATCCTCTAGAATTGGCAAACGGCAAAACATTACCAGCAAACACTGAATCAGTTAGAAGCATTTGTCTTACTTTGTGTCTGAGGGTCCAGGTTCATTACTGAGGTACGGAGGATTAAACTGCTTGGACGAGTCACTCTTCAGAGACAGACAGCTGGATACTGGAGACTCTGCTCTGTCCTCCTCTTCCTCCACACAAACACTCATCTTCTGGACTTCAGTCAGTCTGAGAGGTAAAACAGTAACACTGACTGTGAGTTCAGAACACAAGAATCAAGAAAAACAAGTTTGATCAAGAGACACAAACAAGACTGAGAAAACAGAAAGTAAAACACACACACACACACACACACACAGACTGAGAGAACAGGAAGTAACACACACACACACACACACACACAGTATACAGTAAATAAAACCAGTCAGAACTCCACTTGGTCTCTTGTCTTTAAATCTCTGCTTGTTTTCTTGGTTACTGATTAACACTCACCCTGCCTCAGCCTTCAGTTTTCCTCCTTCTGCTCTGTCGACTCAAAATGGAGTCTGAACTGACTGAACACTTTCAGTTCCAGGTTCCCTCCCTGTTCTCATCTGATCAGTGTTGCTCCTCCCCACAGCATTTACAGGAAATCAGCTGAGTTTATTTGTGTGTGTGTGTGTGTGACCTGAAGTGTTTATAAGCGTCTCTCTTGGCCTGAACAGGTTGAAATAAAATGGGTTTTGCTCAAAATGTTGGAACTTAAATGAACTTAAAATTATGTTAATATTCAATTTGTTTAAGTTACAACTGAAGTGCTTTAAACTAAATTAGCTAAATGTTCTTTTACAGACTTATAGAAACACAAACACAGTTCATCTCAGCGCAGAAGCCCCACATTTTTAATCAGTTAATATTTTTGGTTATAACACTACTGATTCCCTGTGAATGAATAATCTGAACTCGCTTAAGTCCACTTAACAACTTTTTCTGGAGCTTTAAACCAGTTTTTGTTTGACGTAAATTTATGTTAATTTCTGTTGTTGCTGCTGGACTGAGGTTTATGTCAAAGTTTTGAATTAGTGTGTGCAGGATATCACAATCTGTTTAAAATACAGTGTATGTTTACATATAAGGAGAAGATTTATCAGTATATAAGAGCAATAGTATTTTTTTTTTTTTATAGGTTTAATTTTTAAGTTTTATGACACATGGATGCAGCACCACGCGTGTTTACTTGCTCTCCTTTTATTTTGTCTTGCACCTTTAAGTAATTTAAGTAGGCTAGTGTCTTGTTGGCTGGACACCTTTGAGCATATTCAGTTCAGTTTTATGAACAATTTAATTATTTCATGAGCGAGCACTCAATCTGGTGCTCAGCTGGTTAAAGTCATCATTAGTGTCACTCTGCATACCAGTATTAAGCATTAACTTAGTGAGAACCTGTTTTATATTTTAAATGTTCTGTTTTATATCGTGCTTATTTGTCGCTAATAAATAAGCTTGTTGTTATTTGTCTGTTTTTTTACATAAGATGGTGCTGATGTGTAGTTTGACCTTTTTAAACTGAAAATCCTCTGCTTCAAATGTACATTTATAACAATGACGAAGAGGTTAATCTTATGAAATGGTGGTGTTTATTTACTAAAGCTTTTAAAATAAAGATAAAAAATAATAAAATTATATAATAAAGTCACCTTTAGGGTTACGATTGATGTCCCTTAAATTACCTCAACAAGTCAAACATACAACCGTCCACTTGTTTCCCAGATACTGTAAAACCGATAGGTCAGGCTGTACCTTGTTACGTCCCAAGGTCTAGGGTTGTCCTGGATGTAACATAAATGTGTGGCCTCCCACTCTTCCCATTCCCAAACAAGGCCAGCACACAACAAATACAATTTAGCAGTTTTTATTATACATCGGAGATGAGCAGTGCCCAAAACAACAACCAAAGCACTAAGAAAACCTAAATCTTTCTTAAACCCAAAGCCAAAAGGTAAAGAAAAAACAAAGCTCTAAAACTAGGCTTCTAAGTCCAAAAACAGGAGAAAACGGTGCAAACAAAAAAAAGGGCTTCTCACTCCTACTCACTGCTAGTAGCTGACACAATATAGCTACGACAAAGGAAATTGCTTCATAGCAACAAAAATGGCAAAGCCAACAAAACCAGGTTGTCAGAAGGACTACGATATACTACTTACAATCCAAGTTGAATATAGTCACAACCGTTCACTATGTACAATAAACACAGACATAACACACAGTCCTCAGGCAGGTTGGGAATGGCAGAGAGAGGGGAGAGTTCCTGTCAGTAGGGCTTAAGATGGCTGCTGTCATCCAGGTGCCCAATCAGGAGCCTCCAATCAGCTCAACCGGACCAATCCAGTGTGTCCACCTGTTCTCCAGTACCTGCATACACTCACACACTCTAATGGAGGAGAACAGCTGACAGTGCCAGGAGAGATAAACAAACAACAAAATATGACCCCAGGGTCATAACAACCTTTAAAACTATTGATGGAAACTTAAAGTTCTCTGCACTAAACACTTACTGCAAATATCTGAGAGTAGGCTACCTTAGCAAAAAATATCTTTTCACCTTCCAACTGCAAATGCACATTCAGCAGCAAATACCTCAGATAACTTCATACAAAACAACTATCATATATATCAGTTACTCTAATGGGCCCAAAGAGACACAGTAATGTCCACAGCAGACTCTTAGCCAAATAACACACACTTCTCATAAATGAGTCATGCTAACACTGGGTCTCGACACGCTATTATTCGTCTTGTTTCGAAGCTATTCGGCACTCAAAATACAGTCGCACACTCACACTGCAGTCTAGTTCTCTCGCATATCTCCCTCGTTTTTCTGCTCCTCCAGTTCCTCTTAGTGTTGTGTCGTTCAAAGAACGTTTTGTTCATTTGACCTACTCTTGTATGTGACTCAGGAGGAACAGGTTGTCTCAGTGAGTAATTCGTTCATTCACAGAAACTTGACTTATGAAGTTGAAAGGCTAGAAGAAAATCCATGTTTTATAGGTTGCATTTAGTGTTTTCTTCTTTATAGAAGTATGTTTGGAAATGCTGAATCTGAAAAAGTGTCTTTTCTTTTCTGTTTTGTTCTTCACTTTAAATTGTGAGTTTTCACACCTAAAAATGCCACAGCTTGAGAAAAGTCTCCAGAGTGGATGGATGTTAAAATGACAGCCTTGTGTTTTAATGTGGATGGGATAAACAGAGCTTTTGGGAAACGCTGACGTTAGCAGTGTGTTCGTCAAGTTCAGACATATTTTCTCAACGGGGTACACCCTGGACAGGTCGCCAGTCCATCGCAGGGCCACACATAGACGAACAACCACACGCTCACACTCACACCTAAGGACAATTTAGGGTCACCAATCCAGTATAATCTTGATATTTCTAAACAAATTTAAATGAAAGATTCTGTATTTATTAAGTTGAATAATGTTTTAGTTTTTCTTTCAGGTTTTGATTCAGTTGAAAGTAATTAAACTTACTGAATTAAATATTAGACAAAAAAGGGAAACAATCAACAATTTAAATAATTCGCCTTTTAAAATTATACGCTGTGTGTTCTGCAGGGTGTCTCCCATAAATTCATCATTGCGGTGCTGATGGAGTACATCCGCTCTCTGAACCAGTTCCAGATCACCGTACAGGTAAAACTGAGCATCGTGACACCTCATTGTTCACACTGATATTTTCTTCTGATCTTGTGGACATTATTGACCTCATGACCTTTTTCTCTCCTGCCAGCCTCAGGTCAAACTTCTGTTTACGTCTTTCAGCATTACTTGTATGAGTTGGTGATCAAGACGTTGGTGCAGCACAACCTCTTCTACGTGCTGCGCCAGTTCCTACAGTATCAAGTCCTCAGCGACTCCAAATCACTGGTGAGTTCACACCTAAACTGATCTGAAACTGGTTCTAAACCAGTTTAATCTGAATTCTGAGCTCAGATTTAAACCAGTTCAGTGCCTGTTTGTACTGAAACATATCAACTATCAAAATAAATACATCCTAGTTTGAAGCCAGTCCTCTGTAACAGTTCATTTACGGTAGTATAAAATAACTTTTTAAATGTGACTGTGTTTTTTAGTTCTTACTCGGGCTGTCCCCGACTAAGGATTTACATAGTCGAATCAGAATTGTCAACCGATAGTCTAGTCAACCGATAGTCGAATCATGTGTGTTTTTGTGCGTGGCGATTGCGAGCAGGGGGAAGAGTGGGTTACACATGGTAGCTCCACTTTAATCTTGAAAAGTTGCTCAGCTGCAGTCTCTATTCATATAACTTGCACTGTAAATTTCCAGCTAAACTGAGGCTTTTTGAAGCTTCTCTCTCTCTGTCTCACCTGTCGTTCATCGGTCTTGTGTAGTTTTGCGTGCATGCCATGCTGCTGACAACTGCATGCACATCGCGGCCGGCTATTTAATTAACAATAAAACATACTTTGTGTGGTTCATCAACGGTGATAAATTATCTGAAAGTCCCGCGAGGTGCGGACAACTCGGCACAACACTGGTGAAGTCGGGGCTTGCTCTTTCCTGCCACTAAATACACCCTACGCCTACACATGCACACTGACGACACAGGGTTAGGGTTATAATTTTGGATTTATTTACGCACTAAAAACATTAAAAACATTTATTGAAAGTTTTATTCTTTTTATATGTTTATTTACAGCATTAAACGTTGAAATGTATATTGTAACAGGCTGTATATGAACTTATTGGGAGAAAACTGGTAATTCTATGTAAAATCAGACGTAGAGCACCCCCATATCACCAAAAAGGCATGATCCTTGTTTCGTTGCGAAGCTTCGACTGTGAACAAATGCATTTGTATAGCGCTTTTATAGTCTTTGTGACCACAGCAATTTTACATCACCATTCACACACTGAGCCTAAGTACTCAAACAGAAAGTAACATTCACACATTCATTTGGGGTTCAGTATCTTGCCCAAGGACACTTCGACTTCCAGGTTGCATGCCTGGAGGAGCTGGGGATTGAACCGCCAATCTTTCGATTACCGGGCAACCCTCTATCTCCTGAGCCGCGCTATTAATAAATATTAATAAATATTTATTTGAAAAATTCCTGATGTTTTTAATAGATTCTATTGTAATGTGTCACAGTGTCTCCAAATCAATACCTTGTGTTTTGTTGACTGGAAAAGTCTGAACTGTATATAATGCTTAGGACACTGTGTGGCCACTCGGGCATTGGTTGGAATGCAGTCCAGACAAGATGTTCCCTTTAGTCGTTTATTGAAACAGAGGCTGAGCAGGTTTGTTTGTGTGTGTGGTTCTACAACAGAGATAAATAAATATTAGTACAATCTCTATGTGTATTCAACAGATTAATGCCTATACAATTATACAATATAACAACCATGCTAAACCACGTTTTCCTTTAGCTGGTCTTGTGACAAAGGCTTAAACACAACCACAACCAGCGATGACGATGGCCAACCAGTGATGGCCCACTTCACACCCCCATAGCCATCAACTCCCCCAATGCCACCACCATGTCCATCACCACCTCAGACTGCAGACCACCCCCACCCTCCACACACGGACAGTTCAACACGCCCAAAGAGGAATTCAGCTGAGGAGTCACATATTCAAAAGAAGCAAAATTCCAATAAACATCTTTTTGCATTGGAGGGAGTCATTAAGCAAAATGGCAACTCCACCTCCTCTCTTATGCACTCTAGGGGTAGACTCGATAAGGACAGCTGCACTGTTACAGTCAGGTCCATAAATATTGGGACATTGACACAATTCTAATCTTTTTGGCTCTATCCACCACCACAATGGATTTGAAATGAGACAAACAAGATGTGCTGTAACTGCAGACTTTCAGCTTTAATTTGAAGGTATTTATATCCAAATCAGGTAAATGGTGTAGGAATTACAACAGTTTATATATGTGCCTCCCACTTTTTAAGGGACCAAAAGTAATGGGACCATTGGCTTCTCAGCTGTTCCATGGCAAGATGTGTGTTATTCCCTCATTATCCCATTTACAAGGAGCAGATAAAAGGTCTAGAGTTCATTTCAAGTGTGCTATTTGCATTTGGAATCTGTTGCCAAGGCTCTTTAGTGTCATGCTCCTGTGCTCGCCAACCAAGCCATGAGCTGTGTTTGGGGCCTGCTGCCTTAAAAGCCATCATACTGCCATGCAAATGGAGCTGTCTGTCATTTAGTGTTTTGCTTTGTGTTAGCTGTTTAGCTAAAGACTCGCTGCAGCAGTATTAACTTACTGAGCGTAAGTAAGTGTTCATTTTATTAAAGGGGACCTATTATGCTTTTTCATATTTTCTAGCATTTCTATAATGTTACAATGTCAGATGTTCATATTAAACAAGACCAAAGTTTCAAATGATGAAGTAAAAGTATGAAAAAGAAATCCCTGTGAGCCAAAACCTTAGATATCCCCCTGTTCTGAACGCTCTGTTTTGAACTGTTTTTTCTACTAATACAGTAGCTCGGTATGATGTCATTCCGAGCCGAATTTCTAAATATGGTCATATGCTCCAGGCAGAGAATGCTGGCCACGCTCACAAAGGAACATGCAGACCTATCCCTGCAGCAACCTGGTAAACACATTAGACAATGGCCAATCAGAAGACAGTGGGCTCTGGAGTAAGGGGGTCTCAAAGAAACAGAAGCATAAACAGCTTGTTACAAACAGATGCTGAAATGAGGGCCAGCATGAAGAACCAGATAGAAAATACTTTCATGCAAATATAATACAGGAGTCACAGAACTACAATATACAGCAGCACTTGAAATGCAGCACACTTGAGTTGGTTGTGTTTAACCGTGTATCTGCAGAGTTGGGCAAGGTTTTAGAGTAAATACCAATCTACATGTTCAAGATATTTTTGTCTAGCCCATTTTTGAATGAAGTTTGCCACTGGTACCACAGCTAGCTTCTCTCATTGACCAGGATTCAAAGAGCTGCTAACTCTGGTTGATTAATGTTAACATAGCTAGCTAGCCTAGCATAAATGTCGTGTAACTCTGTTATAAATGCTATAACAACATAGTAAGTGTAACTGTAATTCAGTGCTGCAACAAAGACTACACAATGCCTTTAAAAGCATCAGGTGAACAAATGATGAACATTCACTGAAAAAGCGGCGTTTTTAGTGACAAAAACACACCCTAAAATGATTTGTGTACCTCGCTGTGTCACGGCAGTGCAGCCGAGCATTTAGGTCTGTAGTTTGCCTTGAATACAAGCATACATACCTAAGCTGTTGATAAGGATCCTATTTAAAGTGGCTACTGTCAGAATTTAATGACCTGATGGTAGAAAGATGAAAAAAACGATTTGGAGTAATTATTATTTAATGTATAGATTCATGTACTGTATGTGTGATTGCTTTTATTTTATAATATTTTCCAGTGTGTATATCTGTGGGTATGCTCATGTGTACCCTAACCATTTAGGCAACATTTACACATTTATTTAATTTATTACAGCCAATAAATGCAGAAAGTTAAGTTGGTCAGAATATAGCAAATATAATAAATATCATGACATAACTTGGTGGCTAGACCTGCCAAACAAATGTCTGTTAGAAGAAAACAAAACTGCCCACATTTCCTTAGACCTGTATCTTACACCACTACTAACCTGTAGACTACTGACCTCAGAATCGGCTGCCCTGCCAATCTCTCTCTCTCTCCCCTAAAATATCTTCAGTATCTTGTCAATGAATAGAAGGATATACAAAAGCATTGAAATTATAACATTTAGTTTTCACTGACAACAACCTTCTATGGGAACTGATATTGTTTTTGAAATAGGCTACTAGAGATACATAATATTTATGGCATTCACTATACCAACACTAGTGTTTTCCATAGCCAATTAAAATATCCCCTCTCCTTTAGCTCAAGTAAACGTAGCTAAAGTTCAGCAAGTAACAGTCACTAACAACAACTTACAGTTTCACTCTGTATCACCGTTTCTGTGTGTGTGTGTGTGTGTGTGTGTCTCTGTGTGGTAACGTTGCTCTGCAGCTTGGCAGAGCAGCGATGAAAGACAGTCTCTCTCAGGGTCCTAGTGCCTGACAGCAGAAGGGATTTAAATTGTGAAACAGGAAAGAACAGGAAAGATTATTTTAAACCAATAAATGCAAATTATATTTGTATTATTCTATAGTATTTATCAATATTCTTGCTTCTCTTTGGTGAGCACATGTCTGCACTGTAAAAAAAAATTACATTAAAAAATATATATTTTTCTTATTATTTTTGGGGGGGGCTTAGGACCATGTTAGGGTGGCTTCAGCCCCACTGAATATTATAACAAGATTGTGTCACACTTTCCTAAAACAGATAGACAGCAGTAAGTAACTTTACTGTAGTGTTAGTGGATGGCTCTTCCTCTGTGGTGTTTTGTTGCAGTATTGTATATTATGTGGATCACGTTAGTTACAGCAACTGAGAGGTGGAGAAGGTGTGTACCTGAGTACGTCAAGACACGATTTGAACATTACGAAGCAGCAGGTCCGAGCTAATGTTGCGTTAGCTGGCTACTCATGGCTGCATCACTATATCATCATAGTGAAGTAATGTGGAAAGCCACACAACTTTGCACTGGATAATGATAGCAACTTCTGGCGAGCTCTCCATGTTTCTCCAGCTTTTTGTCACGTTCACTGTGTTTTTACTCGACATCATAGGAATCTGTTTGGTCTGAAGGGCTTCAGCGTTTATTTATTTCTCTATATTTATATTTAAATCTGACAGGATCTGTCCTCCATACAAGTGCAACATAGATGGTAAATATGACAAAAAGAAAGAAAGGAAAAGAAATGGTGCAGAAAAAACTCACTTTGCCCTTACTAACTTTATTTATGTATCTGTTGTACGCTGTATGCATAATTATTAGGCAAGTAAGTATTCTGATTGAATCATTATTTCTATGCAACTCCAACTTCAAACCACATAAACTTGAATGCTCATTGGAGTTAATCATTGTCAGGTGATTTGTATTAGAGTAATGAGGGAGGGTGTAGCAAGAAATTAAATCACACCTTATATCAAGGTGTGCATAATTATCAGCTTGCTTGTTTGTCGCTAAAACATATGTTGGATGTTTTGGTACAAGTAAAAGTTAGACTTTGAGAAATAAGCTGTCTGTATTTGTTGCACGTACTGACAGCTGTTTTTCCAGGTGTTTTCAGGATGAAGTGTGGCAGGGATGCTTCACATTTCTTTTATTAATTTGTTCTCTTGAACTAAAACACTTTTATTCACTTGAAAGAAACACTCAATTTAGAGTTTAAATGCAATGAACATCTTGGGTAACAATATCTGGGAGAAGTGAAGCCTAGGCTGTGTGACAGTCTATATCAAATCCACCTCTGAGGTTGAATCCATATTCTTCCAAATTTTGCCATTAAATTGATCCAGATTTCTGTCTCTGATAGGGGCTTTCTTTGATCATAAAGCCTAATGTTAATCTAAAATTGGCAAATAGCAAAACATTACCAGCAAATACTGAATGAGTTAGTAGCAGTTCTCTTACTTTGTGTCTGAGGGTCCAGGTTCATTACTGAAGAGTGGAGGATACTCTTTGGACCGGTCACTCTTCATAGAGAGACAGCTGGATACTGCAGACTCTGCTCTGTCCTCCTCTTCCTCCACACAAACATTCATCTTCTGGACTTCAGTCAGTCTGAGAAGTAAAACAGTGTCACTGACTGTGAGCTCAGAACACAAGAGTAGGCCTCTGTTAGGGAATTTTTCACTCCTCACTCCCAAAGTTGCTCAGCCTACTAGCCTCTATGGAGCCTCAGCTAGTACATTTTGTCTGAAAGAGGGTTTTTCCACGGTAGAGGCAATTGTGTGTGTAGATCTGAGAAAAATAGTGGATGTGGATTTGACAGTAAGTGTGTGCATGTGTCTGGATGCTATTTTCTCCTGATTTGTATCCAAGTGACTTATGGGGACACCACTTTAAAATGTGTCCAGTATTGAGTGAGAGCAAACCACCTACCCTATGATTAGAGATGACCTGCTCTACCTCCTGAGCCACAGCCCCATGGGTGAAGGTGAGGTCTTACGATTTTTGCTGCTTACATGCATCAGGCAGCCAGAAAGCCAAAGCCAGTCATCATATCTATTTTTTCCTATACTGTCTGAAACCCCAAAGGGAAACTATTTTCTCATGCCACCTCATTTCACAGGGTTTATTTGCAATATAAAATAATATTTTCCTGTCAACTAAACTCCTCATTAAATGGGAACCTCACCCAACGGTAAAAACTAAAAACAGGTTACTGTTAAATTTTAACTCAATATGTTAATATTTAACAGTGATCCTGCTACTTTGACCAACATTTACTTTGTGATAACAGATTACCGGACTTCATTATTTAGTCAGGTGTAGCTGAAGTGGCGGAGAAAAAAATGCACACACACACACATACATACAGTATTCAGTATAATGACCTCAACCACCACCTTGACTGTTGTTCTTGGATTATGGTTCGTTTTGATGTGTATCATTCAGCCAATCACACTGTTTGCCACAGATGAATCAGACTTCAACAATAAACAAATTAATAAAGTTGGATTAACACTCACCCTGCCTCAGACGTCCTTTTTCTTCTTCTGCTCTATCTACTCAAAATGGAGACTGAACTCTGAACGCATTCAGTTTATTGTCCTGATGTCACGTGCAGTACCTGTACCACCTGGTCAGTGTTGTTCCTCCCCTTACTGGAAATCACATTTGTGTGCGTTTTTTATTCAGGTTTCTTCATGACTATCTACCTCAGCTTGAACAGCACAAACTAATAAAGTATCTCACAAAAGTGTGTACACCCCTCAAATGTCATATCTTTTCATGTGACAACACTGAAGAAATGACACTACAATTTAAAGTAGTGAGTGTGCTGCTTGTATAACTGTAAATTTGCTGTCCGCTCAAAACAGCACATCACACTTCCATTAATGTCTAAACCGCTGGCAACAAAAGTGAGTGCACCCTTAAGTGAAAATGTCCAGTCCTGCTTAATGGAAGACCATCACAACACAATACACAAACTATATAATGAGATATGAATGCTCTGGGCCAGTGTTTATGTAAATTGTCGCATGTCTTGTGTTAATCTGTGTATGATGCTCTCAGAAAAGTGATTTGTGAGCCAAAAGGAAAATATTTTATTGAAACATAAAAAAAGTTTTTTTTCCATTTATTTTCATATTTCACTGATGAGTTCATAAAATACAATTCATTGCGGTAGTAAGTATAATGATATGATAGAAACTATCATACTGAGAAGGGTCATTCTGCAGCATGATTACTTTTCCTACATTTTACATCTAATACTTAGAAGTACCATAAAGTATAGTTGTAAAAATCTGTACATTCTTGATAAGCACGCTGGCACACAGGACACATTAGCCCTTTTCTATGAAGCAAGGCACTCCAGGCGGGGTGAGGTGTGGTGGACCGACGCAGTGTCTCGTTCCCCGAGAAGGGGAACGAGGGTTACATACGTAATCGAGACGTTCCCAGTCGAGTGAACTCGAACTGCGTCTGTGACGACACTATGGGAACGAGATACCCACTTAGGCCGCGCCGAAACCCCGCCTCCCCCAGCGTGCAACCTGCAGGCACGACTAAGAGGAGGGCGCACAGGTGCCGGGTGCAGAAGGAAGGTCCAGACTGTAAACCGGATGAAGTGTGAGGGGTGGCCAGCCAGCCACGTCACACAAATCCTGGAGTGACGCCCCTGCGAGGAGGGCCCTAGAGGCCGCCATGTAATAACACAATCTGTTGCGATATACCTAGTAAAATAGACAATTTAAAAAAGTAAACATATATAATCTTACAATTATAGCAATAATACATAAGTTTGGAGTCAGAATTGTGCTTCAGTTTGTAGATGTCAATAAGCTTTGATTCAATCCAAACTTTCTACAGGTCTTATCTTCTTGTTTCTATGTGTACAAACTTTTTTTTTTACATCAACTTCCAAAATGTATTACAAATAAAATGTGGAAATTAACTGCAATTCTCCATCAATCCACAAGGTGGAGTTGCAACAGAAAGCAAACAGACCTAATCTGCAGAGGCACTTTGGGTTCAGAATATCTGAATAAAATAAATTCCAGGTCCAGGTGGAGGAGGTGGCTGAGTGTGGAGCAGAAGGAGTGAAGGAGTCTCAGTGTGTCTGCAGAGACTATGTAGAAGGACAGAGCAGCAGCAGAGCAGTCCAGATACACTGATGATACTGTTACATCCAGACAAACACACAAGGATGATGGTGGACTTGACTTTGTGTCTGACAGTGGAGCTGATCTCAGAGCAGTTCAGACTGCAGCACTGTTGTGATTCCTCTGTCAGTCACTGCTGGATGAAGCTCTCCTCTCCACTCTACCTCCCAGTAACAAGGCCCTGTCAGAGCCGCTCCACACACAAGCTGATGCTGCTGCTTCAACCTCTCTGGATCATCAGGACACAGCTGATCCTCTCTCAACACCACCACCTTTCTCATCACTCACACTGGTGGAAGATCACTTCCATCTGATGAGAGAAGAAGACAGACAACAGAAGTCATAAATCAGAGTTTACAGAGACTCTCTTCATCAGCTGTTAGTCAGTGATGCAGCACATCCAGTATAAAGACCAGCAGGGACTTCAGTCCTGTTCAGACCAGAAGTGGAGCGGCTGTGTAGCGTAGCCAGCTTCCTTTCAACAGTTAACGTATTTGAGTGAACACACTGAGACCTGAGACTTTGGGCATCAGGTCTGTTTACTCTACAGATTTCCCTCAAGTACACAGTGGAGAAAAAAGTGCTGAGAGTTCCTGAACGCATTATTTAGAGACAGAGAGATATTCACTGCTCACTGTAATGATGGATTTACTGCTGTTAGGGCTCAAAGCTGTTAAAAACCAGCATCTTTGTCACATTTTAATACTTCATCTATTTTTGAAATATTACAGGACAAATATTTAAATATGGAGTGTGTTCTAAAAGCATTTGGACAAAACAAAAGACACATGGACAGATATAAATATATGATGCTAAAGGTCCTACATGTTCATACAAAGACTGAACAGCTAATCATCAGTGTGATTACTGGACTTCAGCAGAGGTAGAAAGACCACATGGTTACTAAATGTAATGATGCTTCTCTGAAATAAGAACCAGTGATTTCCAGGCTTCAGTCAGACTGATGTCAGAGCTGTGAAAAAGATAAACTGATCAATAGTTTAGTATTGAAATGAGAGAACACTTTGAGATCAGATTTGATGGTACGACAGTTTGATGAAATGAGGACCACTGTCTCTATACATCTTGTGACGCTGTCAGCTGTAATCCAGCTTTATTTCCTGTAGACATGAACACAACAACAACAGTCGTCTTCACATCAACTCAAACACATGATCACAACAAGCTTCTGGCTGATTTGATTGGCTGACTGTTCTCTCTCTCTGACTTTCTGTCCAGTCCTGAAGCCTGTCCCGTTCTCCTCTTACAGCTTCACTGAGGAAAGCACTGAGAAGGCTGGAGGTTTACAGGAAATACTGGATCTTTGCTTTAATACTAACTGTGTTTAGTACAGTACTGCTGAAACCAGCATAGACTAACTCTAACTCTCTACTGACCTCAGAGTCTCCAGTCTACAGTGTGGGCTCTCCAGAAAATCACACAGCAGCTTCACTCCTGATTCCTGCAGCTCGTTGTCACTTAGCTCAAGCTCTCTCAGATGGGAGGGGTTAGACTTCAGAGCTGAGGCCAGAAAAGCACAGCTGATCTTTGACAAACTGCAGCTTCTCAATCTGAATTAAGAAACAATAGAGACACTTAGATGTGTTCAGGTTTTAAATGTGTGGCTCAACATTACTATGTTCTAATCAATGACCTTTTCCGTGAAATGAGTTGGGTGTTTTTGTCATTGTGTTATTGTGGATCATCATTATGTCAGCCTTCTACAGACATCATCCAAACGTCAGCACAACGTTCATACACCTATTCATGTCAACACAGATTAATAGCATGCTGCTGATCTCAGGCCAGGCTACAATTAGAGGAGAAAAAACTATGTAGATCCTTTAAACATAAATGTTAGTCAAGTCTATAGTGATGATTTTATTGATTCTTGTATTTGCACAAGGGAACCCAGCTTCTGCTCACTACAAAATGGCATCACGAACAGGATGAAAACAAATGACTTGTCAGAACACCGGTCATCCGGTTTTCATCTCCCTTTTCTCCTGGCAGATGCATAAAAACCTGCATAGGTAAAAGATCTTTTTTCCTTTGTCTCTGTCAGAGAGGAGAGTGACAGCCTGTGGGCTAGTAAGACTAAATCTGACAGTTTTTCTCTTACCATTGACAACTCCACAGTTTCCCCCTCCCATCAGGTCAAGAGTCTGGGTGGGATCCTTCATTTGAAGCTCTCATTAATAACAAGCTCTCATTAATTAATAGGTAACAATAATCGCCTCCGACCGTCTCTCACACCCACTAGTACAGCCATTCTCATTCACACACTGATCCCGCATTGATTATTGTAATTCTCTTTGGTCTTCCTCTCAAATTTATACATAAACTTCAACTGGTTCAGAACTCTGCTGCCCGTATCATCACTAGAACCCCTACTATTAATCTCATTACTCCTGTCCTTCAGCATCTTCATTGGCTCCCACTTAAATACCGCATTGATTTCAAGATTCTGCTCCTGACCTTCAAGGCCATTCATAGGGTGCTTCTCAAGTATCTTAATTGCATCCATGCGTCTTTTCCTTGCGTCTTAGTCCCGCCCACCAGGGATGCATGGAGAGACACAAGGAAACCAAGCCAGGAGAGAAGGAGCGAGGGAATATATTTCTATCATTTCCTTGTCCGGTTCAAGTGACGATCGAGGAGCAAGGAAACGACAAATAAGAGACTTGAGAAGCACCCATCACCTCGCTCCTCTGTACCTCACTGACCTTCTTCAAATTAACACACCCACCCATACTCATAGGTCTACTTCTTCTAGTCACCTCACTGTACCTCCCGCTCGTTTGACCACTATAGCGTTCAGAGCCTTCAGCAGCTCTGCCCCTCGTCCCTGAAACTCTATTCCACCAGACATCCGCAACATTGACTTGCTTTCCATTTTTAAATCCCGCACATTTTTAAACTGGCAAATCCCATGTGATCACTATTTATCAGGTCACAGCAGTCTTTTGTGTCCAGTTGTTATGTACCCTGATTTTATGCACTGTAATTACAGTTGTTAATTTTATCGATTTATTGCTTTACTGTTTTATTACGTTTTGTGAGGTGACCTTGAGTGTTACAAAAGTCGCCAATAAATAAAATGTATTATTATTATTATTAAGACAATACAGTTTACCGAAAACACTTGCATATGTAATAATAAAAAAACCATTTGAAATGGAAAAATCTGAGACAAACAAACTGTGTGTGTGTGTGTGTTCTGGAAGATTAATATTAGTGAAAAGAAACTATTTGTGAAAACACATTGATGTTAACAAAAATCGAAGAAATATTTCTACTTCAGCATAAAACTTGATCAATTAGTTATATTAGGTATATTAGTTCAGAGGATCTTCTGTACCCACATGACTATTTACCAAAATGTTTAAACATCCACTTGATAACAACTAACAGTGGACATTTTCTACAGTTTATTTAAGGAACACGACTTTTGTGACTGCAGACTACATTTAGTACAAGAAACACGAAAATATAAACAAAAGGAAATTTACAACATTTTGGATGTAAGTTATGTATGAATATAAATGTGGTTCTGTTGTAATTTAACATATCAGATCTACAATAGTAACAGAGATTCAGTGAACTGACCTCAGAGTCTCAAGTCTGCATCGTGGATTCTTCAGAAAATTACACAGCAGTTTCACTCCTGAATCCTGCAGGTTGTTGTGACTCAGCTCCAGCTCTCTCAGATGGGAGGGGTTGGACTTCAGAGCTGAGGCCAGAGAAGCACAGCTGATCTCTGACAAACTGCAGCGCCTCAATCTGAATAAAGAATAAATTACGTAACTTTTTAAACAGCAACATTGTCTTCTAATCATTCACTATTAAATCTGTTAAGAGCTGAAACATGTTTAGAATGTAGAAGTTTAGAAAATGGAAAGTTCAAACACCTGAACCCAACGCAGGTTAAAAACTGTAAAATACAAAGATGTAAAAAGAGATCTCATTAATATTAACATGTCAACATGCTGCTACATCAATAAAGATGTAGTGACTTCACCTCTTAAAATCTGCAGCTCCACCAGTGGCTCCATCTATATAAACTCATGTTGTGCAGCCAAACACAAATAAATCCCACAGAAACTGATTTAAGATTCGACTCAAGAGGCCAAAGTTTCCAAAGATGCCAAATATGTTAGGATGGATTTGGGCTAAATTTGAACAAAAGACATAATATTTATTTTAGGAATAGTGGAGTCGTAAAATCAAAGCTTCTTCAGTTTAAACTATTCAGTCAGTATAAGCATCATATAGAGTGTATGCGCATGACCTCACGGAACGCAGTTACGCTCACTGAGTGATAGAAAGACGAATAGCAGTGTTAGCTTGAATCAGCAAAAACACAAACAACACATCTAATATGGGAAAGAGCTGGACCACTGGTTCTTTGATAAGCAGTAAGGATCACTTTCGAGTCCAACTGCCTTTAATTTGACCAAATAATTACTTGCTTTACTCCTGGTTTGCTAAACGCAGCCATGGTAACAGATGTTGTGCCACTCAGTCCACCGTGTTCCAGAAAGGGAAGTGACATCAATGCATACCATCTGTAGCTTCACAACAATGTCGTAACTGAACTGAATAAATGTATTATTGTCTTAGAGTTGAAAAAGAGATTCATTGTATTTATGATTTTGTTATTATAACTGATTTAAAAACAGAACATTAGCTGAAAATTAAGGGTTTAAGCCGTTCGGAGTGAATTATCCAGTGTAGATTTTTCTTGTTATTTTAAGCTTTTATATGTGGAGCTCAACATTGTTCTGCCACAGCCAATGAACTAAAATACTGCAGAAGAAAATAGACTTGAGCATTAAGATACTCACAAAAACATCAGCCTTTTGTCTACAGTTTAGTGTCACCACAACTTTCACATCATATTAATCTCAGCAGTAAAAAAAGTTTTCTGACCCAAGAATGTCCAGTCTACAGCATGGACTCTCCAGAAAGCCACACAGCAGCTTCACTCCTGAATTCTGCAGCTTGTTGTTACTCAGCTGCAGCTCTCTGAGATGGGAGGGGTTGGACTTCAGAGCTGAGGCCAGAGAAGCACAGCTGATCTCTGACAGACTGCAGGAACTCAATCTGTATAAAGAATAATTGATGAAGGTAAAGATCTATTTTATAATCCAATCAGATGTGTTCAGGTTTTAAATGTGTACTCAACATTAATATGTCCTAATCAATGAGCTTTTCCCTAAAATGAGTAGAGTGACTTTGTCATTGTGTTTTTGTGGATGATCATGTCAGCCTTCCAGACATCATCCAAATGTCAGCACAACATTCAAACACAACATATTCATGCCAACACAGATCAATAACATGCTGCTGATCACAGGCCAGTCTGGAATTAGGGGAGAATAACTATGTTGACCCTTTAAGCTTCTAAAATTAAACATATGCTTTATTCTTTATGTTCCTCCGTTTGTTTGTGTGTGTGTGTGTGTGTGTGTGTGTGTGTGTGTGTGTTAGGGGTGTGCATCTTCACTGGTCTCACGATTCATCCGATTACAATTATACTGTGAACGATGCGATTTGATATCTCGATGCATCACGATGTGTCATATGTGACACATGGCACATGGCACATGTTGTTCCAGCCAATACGCTCAATCAGCCTTAATATATCTGTTCCCTTTTTTTGTCTCTTCTAGTGTAGTTACATGTTTGTGTCTTCTCCTGTAAGTTGAATATTGTGATGCTGTATTGAGCACCATGGGCCTTAAGAAATAGCATTTCATTTATTTGTGTATGTAGATGAATGACAGCAAACAAACTTGAACATTGATTTAATTGATAATGACAAACAGTCTGGTGCTGCACTTCTGCATTTCCAAGTTCCGCCTAGAATCGCCCAAGTCCACATCACGATGCAGCTAATAAATTATTTTCCACACCACTAGTGTGTGTGTGTGTGTTCTAAGGATCAGTATCAATGATCAGACAAAACAAATGAAAGAAAACAAGCTGAAATCAACAGAAGGCATGGAATATTTCTACTTCACCAGAAAACTACAAATTATAAACATTATTTTTCTTTAAAGGAGACCTATTATGCTTTTCCACATTTTATGACTTATCTACAATGTTACAGTGTTGGATTTTCATGTTAAACATGGCCAAAGCTTCAAAAAATTAGGTTAAAGCATTTATAAGAAATCAATGTGAGCAAAACCTCAGGTTTCCTCCTGTTCTGAATGCTCTGTTTTGAATTGCTTTTACTACCAACGGCTCCGTTCTACGTATTACCGAGCAAGAGGGAGCCGGTGTGCCATAAATGGTCATGACAGGCAGCCCAGCAACAACTACAACCTGGTAACATGCTTCAGGTCTTACCAATCAGAAGTGGGCTTTGAGAGGGGGGGCCTTAAAGAGACATGAGCATCTGTTCAGACAGACAGACTGAAATGATGCCCTACATGAAGTATAAGAAAATAAAATATTTTTTGAACTTTGAGTCATGCAAAGCTGCCATACAGGAGTCACAGAACCACAATATAGGTCTGGAAAAGCAGTTTAATAGGTCTCCTTTAACAACTAACAGCAGACATTTTCTACAGTTTTTTTAAGAAAAAAATATTTGTCACTAAAGACTGAATTTTGTACAAGAAACATGAAAATATGAACAAGGAAATTTACACTTTTATGGATGTAAGATTTGTATGAACATATGAACATTCAATTGTTAATTAAACATATCTAGAATAGTAACAGAGTAAGTGAACTGACCTCAGAGTCTCCAGTCTACAGTGAGGACTCTCCAGAAAATTACACAGCAGCTTCACTCCTGAATTCTGCAGCTTGTTTCCCCCCAGCTCCAGCTCTCTCAGATGGGAGGGGTTGGACTTCAGAGCTGAGGCCAGAGAAGCACAGCTGATCTCTGACGAACTGCAGTCACTCAGTCTGAATGAAGAATAAATTATGTAATTTTAGAAGACAGTGGTACTGTTTGAAAGCATTGAGTGTTTAATAATCTGTTGAGGAAGGTTTAGAATGTAGAAGTTTAGAAAATGGAAACTCCAAACACCAGGGAAATGTCAGGCCCACTGTCCTTGACTAGCATAGAGTTGCTCTGTGTCTCTATTTCCCTTTCTCCACTTGTTTGTGTGTGCTTAATTGCAGGAGTGGAGCCAGGTTGGCGGAAGTCAGGGCCCTCATGTGCGGAGATACTAGAAAGAATGGCCTTGGGTGTGGGGAGGGACCAGTAGCGGCCTGGCCATCTGGAGTACTGTGACAAATCCCGGTGGGCCACCTTCCTTAGCCTATACTTTTTTACTAATAATGAAAAAGTTGGCAGAAAGTTGAGCGAAACGGGCCAACCCTCCCTCTCCCCTGGCCTGTTGGTCTATTCCACATGAACCTCTATACAGCCCTTAGCCCCCCAACATCCATCTCACTCACACACCACAGTGACACTGACAGCTGGAAAACCAGCTACAACAGAACATGGAAAAGCAAACTGACATGCAAATCTGACAAATGACAAATCTGGAATGCTGATTGCATGAGTCTGCAATTTGATTTTTGATAAAAAGAACACATGCATGGAGCCAAGGAAAATGGATAGAAAACTAATGACGAGATTGTTGACAACAATCAGGTATTGGGTAAGACACAGATAAGTGTAAACAGTTTCAGGAACTAAGAGCACACTTATTTGCCAACTCCACTATACTTGAGACTTTGCTGTCCAGCAGCTCCAGGAGTTGATACTGTCTGCAGGCATTTGAGTGACATCACCTTTTCCAGACGCTCCTCTTTAATCTGCCCGAGATTCAGACGCCGAACAACAACGCCAAAACTGCGACCACCGCTTCGAACGGATCCAAGTGGACAGTAGCTCACCCAAGGCACACACTAAGCCAGTGAATCAGCCTTTTCCAGCACTGACATTAAAAGAAAAAAAAACTTCTCAACTGTTCACAGCAAAACACAATTCTCCCTTCTACAGCTCCACAAGTACTTCCGGGTCCTCATTATTGTATCATCCATTGCTGTTGCCTCTTTCTATTTTCCTTCCTGCATATCACACCTTACCTCTCTGATCTTTATAATTTCAAAGAGGTAAGGACACTGATATGTTCAAACCATCATTACATGATATTTTTCTCCAGTCCAAATGTACCACAGTAAACAAGATCCATAAGCAGTCACTGCAAGTTCGCTGGACCGCTCAGATCCAGGCAGTCATATTCAGATGAAGCTATTGCCACTCGCAGTCACTGAGCCAACACTCTGACCATCCCACCGCTCCAAGAATTTCTGAGTGGACAGCTAATCTTTGCCACATTTCAAGGACCTTTACAAACGCAACCCTCCTTCAAAAAGATGGCCTATCAAACACTGAAAAACCTCAATCTCTTTCTCATCCTTTCTCTATTTCTCAAGCCTCACTAACAACCTGAGCACATGCATCCCTCCATCCCAGCATCAGTTCTTCTTCCCCAGTTTCTACCTTTCCTATACTATCCCCTTTCCCTTTCCCTTCCCTTCATCTAATCTTCCCCACACTTTCCACTCATCCTCTGTTCCCTTCATCACCTCATCCCTGGTCTTCATCCCTGCTCCCCCCATCCCTGCTTCCTTCATCCCTCCACACTGACTACCACAGCCACACCTACTGAACCTAGGCTGGCAACCCATGGCAGTGCCGCCAGCCAAACCTTTCCTCCTGTCTACCCTTTTCCTCTTCCCCCACCCATTTCCCTCCCCATATCCCAAATATATATGATGTGACGTTTTCTCTTCAAATCCATCCCTTTTCCTGACAGCTCCACCCATAGCTGGTCCAAACAGTTTTCTTGCATATCCTCTCTCCATTGAGAGCATCCATTCTCTTCCCCCATGCTTCAAACGAACCAAACAGACATATCCCTTCAACCCTGCATCCTTTCCATCATATTTTCTCTGTCCATGTCAGCACCCTCCTGGACTATATCTTATCTTTTCGTTTTTCATTCAGACATTCTGAACCTAAAGTGCCTCATGCTACATTGTTTTGTTTATGACAACATAACAGCAGATAAACACTTAAATGGTTTCTCCTGTTTCCTGTTTCTTTTGCAGCTCCTCTTCGTTGCGTCATCGGCCAATACCTATGGATTTCTCACATGCTTTCATCGAAGGTCATCCGTAGCTGTACGGATAATGTCCCACTCCTTTCTCCACCATGTGCGAAATGTACCCAGCAATCATTGCAGCGATCTTTGGGGGGCATGAATGATTCAGAACACCAATGCAATCTAATCCGACAATGGCATCATCGTTGCCATCACACAGTTCACACACAAGCTCACCCTGGTTTCCCCACACAGAGTCCCCTGGTTCCCTTCCGTCTTACTGTCACCAGTTGACAACGTTTCAGAACACATGAAGAGACAGCTCACCTGCCTTGAGTGTCCTGCCTACCTGCCGCTGGCTGACACCGATCATTTGTTCTCATCCATCCATCCCTCCGGTCAACCCTACCTCACTCACCTTTCCATTTTCTCATCCATCACTCTTATCTCTTCATTTCCTTACCCTCAACTCTCATCCCCACATCCCTTGATCCCTCACCGTCCTTCATCATCCCCACATCCTTCGACCCCTCACTGTTCTTCCTCATCCACACATTCCTCCATCGGATTCTTAATCCATTCTGGCATATAATAATAATAATAATAATTTTCTTCATCCGTATCATACAATAAAAGTATTCTAAATGCATTTCTGCAGTGGCTTGGTGTTTGTGAATCAACCTATAAGGCTGTTATTTTGGTGAGGAAGCAAAACAGCAAATGACATGGCAAACCAGCTAACAAGTTTTTACTTGTTAGAGAGTCCTCTCCTTGCAAAATGTTCCAGTCTATTGGCACACTGCAGACGCATCGCATAGTATGCACATAACTGAAGTGAATACATCAGCCCATAGATCAGCCCATTGTTACGATACCCAATCCGGCTATTTGGGACAGAATCAGACTGATATCAATATTGGATCAGTGCCTCCATCAACCAAGTACACATAAAAACCCAGAGAAAGTGATTTAAGATTCAACTCACGATCCAAAAGTTTTTGGGTAATGTAAACAAAAGACATCTACATTTTTCTTTTAGGAATAGTGGAGTGGAATAGTGGAGTAGAGTCAATAAAGTTACATACACATGTTTTCTGCGAACCAAACGACCATAACAACACTGGAAACGTTTTAATCCCAAAAACTTAAGTAAAAAGCTAATTTAATAAAAGCAGTTTACTTTGAGCTGCATTATATGAGAGGTGCTGAAGATAATGTGTGTGGATTTTTGGTGCGATGTGTGAATTCAGAAGTGTTTCAGTCAGTTTTGGTTTCCGCCTCCTTGTCTCATCTTAACATACCCAAATTCCCAAACGGAATTCTGTGTCTGTCAGACGGTCTGAAGGGGACAATACCACAACAGCAGAGCAATAACGCAGACTAATCCTCCCCACATATAGGAAATATCCACTTGTCCACTTGCAACTCGGTTTCCCTTATTGTGATTCACTGTACTTATAATTCTGTATTCAAACCTGTCTTGAGTGAATTTCAAAAGAGAGATTGCGTTTTGTAAGATCAATAGATTTTTATGTGTAGTACTTTTACTTTTGAATACTTAAGTTTTTTTAAAACCAGAGTTACTTGAATAGGTTTATACTGGATTTTTACTTGAGTAAAATTTTTCATGTGGTATCTGTACTTTTACTTAAGTATGAAAATTGAGTACTTCTTCCACCACTGGTCATTATAGCTTGTAATGCTCCGTCTCATGTGGATTTATTCATTGTGTTTGTTCGCCCTGCTTGTTTCTGTGGATTTAGGATTTATGTTGGATTACCTGTTTTGTTGGATTACCTTGTTTAATTCGGATTATGTTTATTTTGGAAAGTCTCAGCTCAGCCACTCTGCCTTGTAAGTGTGCTCACCTTAAGTTTCTTTAATAAACCTTTAAACTGTACCTGCTCTGCTTTGAGTCCTACATTTGGGTCCACCAACCTTTCAACCTACACACACCCATGACAATAACAATGTTGAAAAAAGCAAATACTGAATAAATTTATTATTGTCTGATAGTTGAAATAGAGATTATTTATATGTTGTATAAATCATTTGCAAAGTGAATTATTTATACAACAAAGTGAATTATCCTCTTGTTATATTAAGGTTTAAAATTTGTAGATCAACAACATAGACTTTAGCATAAAGATACTCAGTGTGGATTAGTATGATATCATTATTATGTCATCAGTTTAGTGTCACTACAACATTTGACATCATTTTAATCTCAGCACAGAAGTGATAAATGGTGTCTGACCTCAAAGCCTCCAGTCTACAGTGTGGATTCTCCAGAAAACCACACAGCAGCTTCACTCCTGAATCCTGCAGCTTGTTGTCACTAAGTTGCAGCTCTCTTAGATGGGAGGGGTTGGACTTCAGAGCTGAGACCAGAGAAGCACAGCTGATCTCTGACAACCAGCAGCGCCACAATCTGAATAAAGACAATGTTCCAGCTTGAAATCATTCATTGTTTAATAATCTGTTCAGAGCTGAAGAAGGTTTAGAAAGTAGAAGTTTAGAAAATGGAAACTCCAAACACCTGAACCCAACAAGATGCAGGTTAAAACTGTAAAATACAAGAAATTATAAAGAGATCTCATTAATATTAATGTCAACATGCTGCTACTTCAGTAAAGATGTAGTCAAATCCCCTCTTAAAGGCTGCCAGATCCATCAGTTATGCTGCCAAACAGAAACTGATTGGACTCAAGATCCAAAAGTTAACAAGATGCCAAATATGTCCGTATGAACTTTAGGGAAATGTGAACAAAAGACATCTAAAATATTTCTTTTAGGAATAGTCGAGCCCTGTGATGGACTGGTGACCTGTCTGGGGTGTACCCCGCTGTTCGCCCGATGTCAGCTGGGATTGGCTCCAGCCCCCCACGACCCTGTATAAGCGGTTGACAATGGATGGATGGAATAGTGGAGTCATAAAATCAAAGCATCTTCAGATTAAACTACTCAGTCAGTATAGTATCTATAGAGGTGTTGGCTTCTGATCCCCAAACTTGAGACCTCTATTAAAATGAATTAATTATCTGGATGTTTCTTTTGTGGCTGTACACTTCCACAATTTGTTCGGTTAGAACAATTAAGATGATGTAGGTAATCTTTCCAAGCCAATGACACTCTCACACTCTTTGTCCTTGCAACTTGTTGATTGTAGAATGAAAATCTGGTATGAGCATATGTTTGTTTTTATGTGTGTGTGTGTGTGTGTGTGTGGTAATTCTCAAGGATGCACACAGAATGTGAAAAGAAAAAAAACGCAGTCCAGAATATGAATGCAGTATCAATCCAGAAGTCCAGCAAAACTCATCTGAACTAGAGACAAAAAGATGCGACAGCAGTGTCCTCCTGAACGGTCGCAACTGTAAGAGGGGAGACTGAAAACTGTCTCTTCAATTGAGGCACTTAATTGCTGAAATGTCATTGGTCCATGGTGACATGAGGGCCGGATACACAGCGCTACAGTCTGTGCATGTATGTTAGGTGGTGCAGTCTATGGGCCTAGTGGGTGACCTTCTGAACAACAGCCCCCAATTTTGTGGAGCTAACCCTAATCCTACCCCTAACCCCTATTTATTGTTATTTATTTAAAAACATGGACAATATAAGATTTTAAAGAAATATCTCTTAAATTTAAGAGGTTCAGAGTGAATTATACAATGTAGATTTTCTTGTTATATTAAGGCTTTAAATAATAAATTAAGGTGTAGCTCAACATTGCTCTGCCACTGTCAATGGACTAAACCACTGAAGAAGAAAATAGACTTTACCATTAAGATACTCAGTGTGGATCAGTATATCAGCCTTAAGTCTGCAATTTAGTGTCCGCACAACGTTAAAATCACTTTAAACTCAGCACAGAGGTAAAAAAAAAAAAAAAGTGTGTGACCTCAGAGTCTCCAGTCTACAGTGTGGACTCTCCAGAAAACCACACAGCAGCTTCACTCCTGAATCATACAGCTCGTTGTCACTCAGCTCCAGCTCTCTCAGATGGGAGGGGTTAGACTTCAGAGCTAAGGCCAGCAAAGCACAGCTGGTCTCGGACATGCTGCAACTCCTCAATCTGAAAAAAAGAATAAATGATGCAGATAAAAATCAATTTATAATCCTTTCAGATGTGTTTGGGTTTTGACTGTGTAGCTCAACATTACTATGTCCTAATCAATAAGCTTTTCCCTAAAATGAGTAGAGTGACTGGGTGAGAGTGTTATTGTGGATCATCATGTTATTAGCCTTTTACAGACATCATCCAAATGTCAGCTCAACATTCAAACACCCATTCATGTCAGCACACATCAATAACATGCTACATCCTCAATCTGGATCAAATATGTCCTGAACAAAGTGACTCTTTTCATCTTCAATATAACAAAGTACCTTCCCGTATCAATACAGTGCATTATCTATGCTCCTTTTTATTGATTGTGTCTGAACTTAAAGTGACATGATATTCTGATAAAATTAGATTTTCTAACCGCAAAGGCTGCGATCACACTCTGGTTACGTAAGAGTAAAGCAGTCTGCAGATAAACTTGGTAAAGCTACGCTGTGCCTTGACCTGTTGTACAATGCATCAGGTATTGTCCAAAACTTTCCTTGCTATCATTGCTATCATTGGTTCTTTTTCTACCACAGGAACAACAAGGGGATCAAAAAGCAAGCACTTATAGAGATGTGCAACATAGACCTTCATCACGACCCAGATCAACCCTGTTCATCCCTACCTTCTTGACCTCTCATCCCTACCTCCTCGACCCATTCACTCCTCCCCTTCTACCCCTTCATCCCTACCGCTTCAATCCCTTTGGGATGACAAATTAAATTAATGGTAAATTTTTACCATATCTGAGAACAAATAGTTGGAAAAGCTAGAGCAGATTATAAATATATAATAACTATAAAATCCCTTCCAAGAATTTGTCTGGGGAGGGACTATAACCATTTGATTTTGGAAGTTATTTAGTTTTAGTTTTCCTGCTCTCTCCACAGTGATTTTACATTAATGGCACAGCACCCAAGCCATCTTCTAAAGCCTTATAATGGCAGGAAAACCCTCAAATATGACTTCCAAATCATCAGAGATAGGATTTTGTGTCTCAGTTTACAGCTTTGACATATATCTGTAAAAATATATATGAAAAATTGGCAACATGAGAACCACCTCCCTTAATTACCAATAATTTCATCTGCACCACAAAATCCAAAAGAAAGGTCTCCTCATTAGCTTAAAAGGTACTAGTTTGCATCCCTAACTTTACTAACCTCCGCTTCTCCACATTCTTCACTGCCCTTTCTTACCTAACAACCAGTCTGAAAGTATGTGTACAGGACAGAGCCATAGCCTACCCCGGTTTAGTCTAAGCTTGTACCTGATGTTCTTAACACTGGACAAGTAGTCCACTTGTCCTCCACTCCCATTCACCATCACTTTCTGCTGCCCAGACAATCAAACACTATGCACTCCCGATTCCTTACAGGAGTTACGCTGCTCTTATAACAGCACCTGTCACGTAGACGTTCTTTGAAGAACGAGGAGAGGACGCTAGCCAAGTATTTACTGTTACTGTGGTCGCACAGTGTGCTAGTGAAAACAATAGTAGCACACTGTTTAATGATTGTGGAAAATTGTTGCTTTAAAGTGTGGACTATGCTAAATCCTGAACAATGTCTCAACGAAGGCCATATACAAAGCATTGTCTGGTTTGCCAAATGATCCAAATATCTTATTCAGTGCACCATCCTTGGAAGACCATCTCGTTTCACCTATCAATGAAATACTTCGGTTTTGGGGCTCCTGATGGACACCATTCACTCGTTGATATGTGTCATGAATAAACCCTGTAATGTCAAAATAATGATGCTGCTGCTATCCCAACACCTTTAGTTTCATCCATAACCAAGTTGAGGACATGAGCGTAGCACCACACATGAATGTGGCTTGAGCATTCCTTTGACAGCCATGCAGAGTACTGTATTTTCCCTGCATAGTTGCAGCTCCATCTTTTCCAATGCAGTTTCCAAAGCAATTCTTCACATCAATTTTGCAACAGTCCAATGTCTGTTTAAGCAGTTTTAGAAAGTCTTCTCCTGCTGATGATTTTCAGTAGCTTCTCGTGAATGCTGCCAGTTACATAGTGAACTATAACACTACACTGATCTTTTGATGTTATTTTATTTGCACTGAATACATTCTAGCCTGGATAACATCAGAAGAAACGCTCTCTTTGATTAGTTGCCAGATAGACTCCACAACCGAATTCACAGTTGTTTTAGACATTATTGTCACAAATGAACATCTTCCCTGTCCTGCCTATCTTTTCTCACTGCACTCCTGTACATGCCACTGTAAAACAACTGTCATATTTAGTAGCAGAAGTAATTCGTGAAAGTTCCTGTCATCGACCGACTTTTTAGCTAATGAGCATGCAGTTTCAGATATATTTGAGTGCACGCTTGACCTCTCAGGTGATCAGTTTTGTTTACCACCCGGTCTAGAAGTTGTCACCTCTTTTGCACTTGTTCTCAACAGGCTGACATTTGATTTGAATCTAGCAACTTTTTTATGTCTTTCTGATGTGCCCATGAAAAGTATGCCTTTACACAGTCCATATGAGTAACAATTTTTTCATGCTCGTTTAGCCTCTGAAGTATATGCCTCCAATTGTTACATCCGTCAATGAAGAGATTTGTCTCAGTCTTTTTAGAAAAAGCCAGGCAGAACGCACAAAATGCAGAATGTGTCTTCTAGCTGACCCATTGGCGCTGGACATTTTGGCAAAATGCCTTTCTGACTGGTTCGTCAGCAACTGATGGGTGAAACGTGAATAAACACTCCAGTGTATTGCAATTTGAGTGCCTGCAAACGTCCTATTGTCTCCTGGTAGTCAATTTCCCAGGATTTTTGTAATTTATGTCAGTTTCTACCACAGGTCCAGGGTCCAAGTTTTATTCTTTCAAAGGAGACATGCCAATTTTGTAGACACCGCCCAACCCTATAAAATACATGGACTGACCTCAGAGTCTCCAGTCTACAGTGTGGACTCTCCAGTCCATCAGAGAGCAGCTTCACTCCTGAATCCCGCAGCTTGTTTCCAGTCAGGTCCAGCTCTCTCAGGTGGGAGGGGTTGGACTTCAGGGCTGAGGTCACGACTTCCCAGTAAGTCTCTGAGAGTTGACAGCCTGAAAGTCTGTTATGGTAGAGAAAATAAAACTTTAAGTATAATAAAATCTGACACTTTCTGACATAAGAAAGCACATTAACGTGATCAGCTGTAGCTCAGCTGGTCAGCAATTGATCACAAGGTTTGTAAAACACAAATTTGTGCTTTAGGCAAAAGTGTCAAATGACTGTAATGTCATATCATGTCATATTGAAATTAACAGGTTACTGTGAATTGTGTTCATTAAACTTTATTTGAATGTGATGTTTGATGAGCTGTAAAATCACTGCAGGTTGTAACTGCACTATATATATATATATATATATATATATATATATATATACATGCATAATATTATTAACATTTTATGGATAATTGTGCCCTGCAATGGACTGGTGATCTGTCCAGGGTGTCGCCCAATGTCAGCTGGGATAGGCTGCAGCCCCCCTGCGACCCTGTACGTAGGATAAGTGGTTGACGATGGATGGATGGATGGATGGATGAATGGATGGGTAATTGTTTGTTTTTCAAGTGGAGTTCAGATGAATAACAATTTAATTTCTTCTCTGAGCTTGGCGTTGATAAGTTCCCTTGACTGAAGTGAACTTACTACTTTACTGGCAGAAAGAACCTGGAGGCCGTCCGAGCTGCTGTCTGAGGAAACATGCTGCTAAATACACAAAGACTGTTGCTGCAAATTCAATGAAAACACAAATGTGATCACACTCTAGTGGGCATCATATACTATACTGCTATTTTCTCTGCATATCTTTCCTTTAGTGTCACTGTTGAGAATGTTGTGAATTGTGGCAGAAAACAAACGCATTGTCTGAATGTTTTTGTATTTGAAAACTGATATAGGGACAGAGAGAGAGAGTTTCCTCATTGTCTATAAATCCAACTGTCACAGCCAGCACTGTGGCACAAGGCAGTTTTTTGTCTCTCCTGTGTCTGTGTAAGTTCTGGTGTGTTCTGTGTCCGCTCAAGGGTCCAACTACAACCAAAACCTAACACAAACAAATTTCTAATGTACCAAAACATATGAAAAGACATTCCTTGTTACTGAACTAAACAATGTAATGTCACACTTTTTATTTAACAAGGATGGAGAGGGAGCATTGCCTCCCCTCACATCTTCTCAAATCAAGCAAAAATTACATATACATTTTTTAAATGGGCAGAATAGTCCTTTATATGAAAGAGCTCAGAAACAAAAACAATAGAATAGCAATAATTGCATGAAAGTTATAATGAAAAAAACTTCAAGTAACGTTCACAGATCAGAGATGTAACATGTCTGTTTGTCTGTGTATAACAATAATTAAAAATAAATAAATAAATCTTGACTGTAAAAACATTTTCAGCACAAACTCTTGAGTAATCAAGTTTTTCTGCTGGATTTGTATCAAGCCTCCATCATCAAAAGAAAGAAAGTTAGAAGATGAGAAAAGCGACTATATTCACTTACTTGATAGATAAACACAAACACATTTTTATTTTTAACACATGCAGAGTTACTTCAATACACAGGTTTAATACTAGTTAGGAAACTTTAATAGTGGGGATGTTTTATATTGTGCATGCGTGTAAAGTGTGTATCTTTATTGTAATACTGATGGCATCAGCTTTGCTTTACTTTATAATGATAATCACAGCTGGACTTACCGAGCCTTTCTGCAGTTCCTCACAGCTGGAATCAGTCTCTGACGTCCCTGCACTGATGTGTTGTACTTCATCAGGTCCAACTCATCCAGAACCTCCTCTGACATCTGCAGCATGTAGGCCAGAGCTGAGCAGTGGATCTCAGAGAGTTTCTTCTCTGATATGTTCTCTGACTTCAGGAACTCTTGGATCTCCTGATGTACTGAGTGGTCGTTCATCTCTATCAGACAGTGGAAGATGTTGATGCTTCTGTCAGGAGAGGTTTTATCATTGTTCATCTTCTTCAGGTTGTTGATGGCTCTCTTGATGATTTTTGTACTGCTGTTGGTTTGACCCAACAGGCCTCCTAAAAGTCTCTGGTTGGACTCCAGAGCAAGGCCATGAAGGAAGCGAACAAACAGGTCCAGGTGGCCGTTTTTACTGTCAAGAGATTTCTCCATAGCTCTCTTAAGGACGGCAACCAGGCTATCATTGTTTACAAAATGCCTAGAAATCTTCTTTAGAAAAGACTCTACTTTTGATTTTCTGTATTTGTAGTCTTGTAGGAAGTCCTCCAGTACCTCTGTGTTGCTGCTGGTGTAACAGTGGAACATGTAGACTGCAGCCAGAAACTCCTGAACGCTCAGATGAACAAAGCAGTAGACTGTTTTCTGGAAGATCACACTCTCTCTTTTGAAGATCTCTGTACAAACTCCCGAGTACACCGAGACCTCTGTGACATCAAGACCACACTGCTCCAGGTCTTCTTGGTAGAACATGATGTTTCCTTTCTCCAGATGTTCAAACGCCAGCCTCCCCAGCTTCAGAAGAACCTTCTTGTCAGCCTCCATCAGCTCCTGTGGACTCGTCTCATGTCCCTCATCATACTTCTGCTTCTTCCTCTTTGTCTGAACCAGCAGGAAGTGTGAGTACAGGTCAGTCAGGGTCTTGGGCAGCTCTCCTCTCTGGTCTGTAGTCAACATGTGCTCCAGAACTGTAGCAGTGATCCAGCAGAAGACTGGGATTAGACACATGATGTGGAGGCTCCTGGAGGTCTTGATGTGTGAGATCATTCTGCTGGACAGCTCTTCATCACTGACTCTCCTCCTGAAGTACTCCTCCTTCTGGGCGTCAGTGAAGCCTCGTACTTCTGTTACCCTGTCAACACATGAAGGAGGGATCTGATTGGCTGCTGCAGGTCGGGAAGTTATCCAGACCAGAGCCGAGGGAAGCAGATTCCCCTTGATGAGGTTTGTCAGCAGCAGGTTGACTGATGACTTCTGTGTGACATCAGACACAACCTCACTGTTGTGGAAATCCAATGAAAGTCTGCTTTCATCCAGGCCGTCAAAGATGAACAACAGTTTCCAGACAGCGAGCTTCTCTGCTGGGACCTTCTGTAATGTTGGATGGAAAACATGGAGCACCGTGAGGAGACTGTGCTGCTCATCTTTGATCAAGTTCAGCTCCCTGAATGAGAGCAGAATCAGCAGACTGATATCTTGGTTTTCCAAGCCCTCTGCCCAGTCCAGAGTGAACTTCTGCACTGAGAAGGTTTTTCCAACACCAGCGACGCCGTTCGTCAGAACCACTCTGATGGGTCTCTGTTGGTCAGCTAAGGCTTTAAAGATGTCGTGGCACTTGATTGGAGTTTCATGGAGGGTCTCCATCTTGGAAGCTGTCTCAAGCTGCCTCACCTCATGTTGGGTATTAACCTCTTCACTCTGTCCCTCTGTGATGTAGAGCTCAGTGTAGATCCTGTTGAGGAGGGTTCCACTTCCTGTTTCATCACTTCCTTCAGTCACACGTTCACATCTCCGCCTAAGACTGATCTTATGTTCATCTAAAACCTGCTGCAGACCACTGTCTGCTGAAAGAGAAGAAAACATTTTCTGTGACTAAACAGAGAGCAAGAATGCAGATAAATAAAAATGTATTTGAATTTATGATATTTTGATAATAAAACAAAAAACACATGTCCCTGTAATTAAACAGAAAGTCCTGTTTTCAGACATGATGACATCAGCAGACAGATGTGCAGTCTTACTTTGTACAGAGCTGCTCTGACTGGCTGTCTGCAGTCCAGCTCTTGTTCTGGATCTTTCTCCACACTGGGGACAGAAGGAGTCTCCTGGTGAAGCAGACTGGTCCCGGTATGAGGTGATGCACTGTCTGCAGAACCAGTGTCCACAGCTGGTAGAGACTGGATCCTTCAGGACTTCCTGACACAAAGCACAGCAGGACGGCTGCTCCTCCACAGAAACAGGACTCCTCTTCCTCTCTCTGTGAAGACATTTCATTAGAACTAAAATGATTAGTTTCTTATTGTTGAAAAATATCCAGATTTGTCCGACACTGTGTAGAAGCTCAAATGGTCACAGAGAAAAGTAAAAAGTGTCGTTACTTTTCTGTTTAAATTCAGCTTTCAGTCTGTAATGAAGATGATTGTTCCTTTTATTTCAGCTTTCAGAAACTCTAATTAACTGCTTTTTGAATGTCTTAATAAACATTTAATGCTCTGCCTGTAGTTTGTTATTAATACAAACGCAACACTTCCTGCAGCTCCTTCACAGTAAAACTCTCCAAGTAAAGGGAACTGATTATGTCCTTCACTGTTTTACAGTCACTCTGGTAAGCTCAGCTTGTGTCAGTTTGAACTGAGGTTAGAAATGGTCTAAATAATTGTGGTAGACCAACAGTCTCAGACACAAAGCATGTAACGGTGGCGTCACAGGTCTACGTCCAGGCAGTTTCCTTTCTTGTAAGTCATTCCCGTAATCTTTCCTGTCACTCTCTACTGTCAGCTATTAAAGGTGCATTATGTAGTTTCCAGCAGCCACCAGCGGTGCGGTTTTAAGATTGCTACCAGGCGTGTGCTCGTACGCGTGCTCGCTTGAACTCATGAGCGAGCATAATCCGAAACACAACTGCTTTCATACAGAAATCCTGCAATAAACGCAGGAACACCAACATGCAGGCTGTGGCTTTTCACTCAGACATGTTCAGGCTCTGTTACTTCAACGTAATTTTACTTCATTCAGTGCAGCAAGCCACATATCGGCACAATCCTCCTGGAAAAAACAGCAGTGTGACAGCGGCTATAGACAGACAAGGAGACAGCTTCACACAATATACTGGAAACTCTGGTAAATCCCTACTGCAACGTTACAGTAATATTTTTATCAGCTTGATGTTGAACTTATTCATGGTCATTACATGATAAAGTTACAGTGACTGCATTTCAGTAACTGTCTTTACTATGTTTCACCGGAGGCTCAGCAATGTCTGCACAGCTAAATGTATTGGATGATAATGAAACGGGTAGTGAGCTATACTGAATATTATAATGAGATTGTGTCACTCTTTATAACAATAAGACCGCAGTAAGTAACTTTACTGTAGTGTTAGTGCATGGCTCTTCCTCTGGGTTGTATATTATGTGGGCCATGTTATTTACAACGACCGAGAGGTGGAGAAGCTGTGTACCTGAGTATCGGTAAAAGGCACTAAAGCTAAACTGAACGTTACGAAGCAAACAGCGGCAGGTCCGAGCTACTGTAGCGTTAGCTGGCTGCTCCTGGCTGCATCACTATAGGCTAGCGTTAGTAAACCAATCGCTCCACATTTGCTTTTTACCATTACATCCTTTCTTGCAGGATAAATCAACAGTGGTACACAGGACAGTAACATGGGTCGCGTTAGTTGGTGAAGTAATGTGGAAAGCGATATAACTTTGCACTGGATAACATTAACAACTGCTCGGCGTTAGCCTGCAAGCTAAGGTGACTTTCTCTGTGTCTCTCCAGCTTTACTAATGCTCACTTTGTTCTTAGTCGACATCATCTGAACCCGTTTGGTCTGATGGGCTTCAGCACATAAACCTTTATTGTTGTTGGTGTTTTGCTGGGAGCCGGTTGTTTTATGGTGTCAGTGAACTGCATGTCGTTGCCATGTTGTCATAGTTTGAAACAGTATCTGCACTAATAGTTCTGCATCATGAATATCTTTTAACATCTTGTCTTCATCCTCAATGCATCATCTCCAGTTTAGGTCAGTTTAGAGTAAAAACAGTGCCTTACTTTGTGTATGAGGGTCCAGGTTTGTTACTTAAGAGTGGAGGATCAAGTTTGGATTGGTCACTCTTCATAGACAGACAGCTGGATACTGCAGACTCTGCTCTCTGTCTGTCGGACTGAACTCTGCAAACACCAAGATGTTTTAATTCATATCACATGAATCCTTGATAAATTCTCCGATGAAGCCATATAGGAAGCTATAAACACACAAACTGTTGCTGCTGTCCATAATTAGGAGGTTTAAAAGTAAGCTGTGACTGACAGCTGTCACAGACACTAAGAGGAAGATAGCACTAATGATTTCTCTGTGTCACAAAATAATTTTAGTTAGCAATTACATTTTGCTAGAAATGTTAACATACAAACAAAACACCAGAAACCATCACATCAACAGAGGTAAGGTTTAATGACACATATAAATGGGTTAGTAGAAGTTCTCTTACTTTGTGTCTGAGGGTCCTTGTTCATTACTGAATAATAGAGGATCAGCTTTGGACCGGACACTCTTCATAGACAGACAGCTGGATCCTGCAGACTCTGCTCTGTCCTCCTCTTCCTCCATACAAACACTCCTCTTCTGGACTTCAGTCAATCTGAGAGGTAAAACAGTGACACTGAGTGTGAGCTCAGATCACAAGAATCAAGAAGAACAAGTTTGTTGACACAGACAAGACTGAGAGAACAGGAAGTAACACATGCATACACACAGACAGTCCACAGGGAGAAAACTGACTTTGACAGTAAAATAATAAAAGTGTTGGATTAACACTCACCCTGCCTCAGCCTTCAGTTTTCCTCCTTGTGCTCTGTCGATTCAAAATGGAGTCTGAACTGACTCTTTCAGCTTCAGGTTCCCTCCCTGTTCTCACCTGGATTGAGAACAGGGAGGGAATTAAAATGTGTTTTGGTCAAAATGTTGCAACTTAAATGAAGTTTAAATGATGGAAATAAGCACTACAGTGTTTTAAACTAAGTGGTCTTTACAGAAACATTTTTGTGGATAATACTACTGATTCTTTGAGAGTGAATAACTTAAAATCCACTTAACAGCTTTTTCTGGAGCTTTTGTTTGATTATTTTATTATATTTCAATATCCATTGTTGCTTTTAGCTTGACAAAGGTTTGTTTCAAAGTTTTGAATTAATGTGTGTTGGATATCAATTAATGAGCGTGATAACTAATATTTTCTGTTGTCTGGTTTATTAGAAGTGTGTTTATTTTTTTATGTTTGATGACATACAGTGTTTGACACATATGGATGCAGTACTGTGTGCTTTTGTTTTGTTTTAACTCGTAATGTAATCTAAGATGTGTCTTGTGGGCTGGGCATCTTTGAGCATATTTATTTCAATTGTATGGACAATGTTATTATTTCTTGAGAAAGCACTTGGCGACAATAGGCAGTGTTCAATCATTAGTATTACTCTGCATATTAAGCATTAACTGAGCAGATTGTTGGTAGGGGAGAACCTGCTTAATATTTTAAATAATAGAATCATGTGCAGACGTCATGGTGGTGCAGTGGTTAGCACCGGTGCCTCACAGCAAGAAGGTCTTAGGTTTGAACTTTGGTCATCCCAGGCTTTTCTGTGTGGAGTTTGCATGTTCTCCCCATGTCTGTGTTGTCTCCAGGGGTGCTCCGGCTTCCTCCCATCGTCCAAAGACATACAGGCTAGGTTAATTAGTGATTCTAAATTGCTGTTTAGTGTGAGTGGTTGTTTGTCTGTGTGTTAGTCTTGCGATGGACTGGCGACATGTCCGGCGTGTATCCTGCCTTTCGCTCGATGGGATGGCTCCAGCCCCTCTGCAGCCCTGTACACAGAATTAGCAGTTGACGAAGAGTGAGTGAGATTGATGTGCTGTTTTTATATAATGTTTATTTTGTTGCTACTAAATCAACAAAGTTTGTTTTTCAGAAAGGCACCATATCCAAGATGTCTATCGTCCCCAAACCTGCCAAACTCTGTCTGAACTGAAAATGTTGTTTTAATACCTCCCCTTTAATGCCCCTTTAATACCTCATTTTGGTAAATTTTAATATTGCACAAACTAAAGGAGACAGTAACGTGTCTTTTGATACTTTAGCTTAAAGTGCTATTTTGAGTTAGCCTTAATATTTAGCCATTAGCGCACATGTCAGTTGGGGGCAAGTTGAATTTGGGGAAAGTCATCACATGTGACATTTATTTTTATTTTCTGATTATCCAGTGTGAAAACTTACCAGCCAATGAGGCAAATTGTCACAAGTGCACACTCTCTATTCAACTGTCAACAACTCTGTGATTAGATAAGACATGAAGAGGAAATGAACTCAAAATATCTGCCCAAGACTTCTTTCTTTCATGTGTGAATAGCGTGACAACATATCCTGCCCTCCTTACATTGAGATGAATATTAATATATCCTTGTTTAATACATCAGCTGTGTACATACACTGTATCAACTGATCAACCAACTAATGTTATTTTGTAAATCAAAATTATTTAAGACTTGAGGCCTGTAGAAATGTAACAGTGTAGTGTTGACCATGGCCCGATGAACCTGCTGGGCAAAAGTGTGCCTTCCCTCCCCTCACCCCTAAATTCACTCATTAGAGAGAGACACCATGGCACCACCATACACCATGTGTATTATTGTCTTTGCAATTGTTAAAGCACTTTGTAACATAGTTTTTGAAAAGTGCTCTAGTTTATTATTATATTATGTAAGCTGTTGTGACTCAGCTGTAACAGTGTCTGTCCTAGAAGCAGTCTCATCAACAACTGTGACAAATTAGTTCATCTTATTTTCTGTATGTGTGTGTGTGTGTGAGCCAACGCAGAGATCAGGCACAGGCTGCAGCTACGGTCTTAAGCCCAGGGGTCCGTTTAATACCGCGTTTCGGTGACATTCACCAAATAACATTAGTTTTCTTATTCATCACATGTCTGCTTCTGAGTCTGATTTCTGAACATGATGAAAATTACAAATAAAGGTAGGAAAATAAATCTGTTTTATAATGTGACAACGATGATAAAGATTTTGTTTTGTTTAGGCACAAAAATAACTTTGGTTTGAGATGACATCAAGATTTCTGTAAAAAGATTTCTTCATCAAGGTAAGGTGACTTTCCTCGCCGTGGTGACAGAAATAACCACTTAGTTAACCATTAAATGAACTCACCACAGATTTATCATCACACTCCTGTAACACTTTCATACTCATGATGGACAGTTGTCGAGGCAGCAGAACCACAGATTTTGTCTTTTTCATTTCACATTCTGCTTCTAATGTCGTGTAAAAATTCAAGACTTGGGCCAGATAAGAAAGCTTGAACTTTTACCAACATTTTTATTATCAACAAAAACAGACAACAATTAGAATACAAAAGTTCCACCGGAGTTTGTCAGAGATCGGTGCAAAATAGAGTCCCATTCTGTTAGACCCGAGTCAACATGAAAACCATGTAACGACTGACTTTCACCTCCTTTTGGACCTCCTTTTATAGCTCTGTTTCTTGGCTCTCTTTCCTACTGCACCTGAATCTGGGAAAGTCCAAGATTTTCACGTGCCTAAGCATTTAGTGGGAAAGTCCCTGACTGCCTGCTCCTCCTCTCTGTGTCTTTTGCATGCACTCTGCTTGATCATGCCATTTCTTCCATAACCTGACTTTTATGGAATAAACTGGTGTTGTTTGTGCTCTGTGCTAGAAACAGGACATTCTTACTGTGATGGACTATATTGATGTATGTTTTGTAATACAAAATCTGCTTCTATATTTTCCTTTGCAAGGTATTTTTGATGCTGCCTCACTGTGCTCCCTCCCTTTTCTCCCAAAGCACACGAACTTGCTCACACACACACATGTGCCTGGGCAGTTAGATACAGAAAGGAGCACACACACTCAGAGCTGTAGAGTTTTAACACTGTGATCCTAACTTTACACTATAAAATAACACTTTAAACGATGACAATGTAGACCACCATTGCTCTAGTAATAAATGATAACAATTTAGGCTATAATGCTCCAAAATAATTCACAACACCTCCTTGTCAAAACATGGTGCTTACGTTACCCAAACTGTAACTGGGCTGCCAACAGTTGGTTGGGAGATTGGGGTGTCTAATGGCTAATGTTGCTTGGACCCTGTAGCCTACAGCCGAGATGAGCAGCACACTACAGAGGTCTGGTGAGCTCACTTCTGAACTGAACTCCACACCAACAGACTTTCATTGTATACTTCAGCCATAATGATGATGCTGATGCTGACTCAAGTGACATCACTGAAGGACATTTTTCGGACTTCACAGAGCTCCGTCTGTAGACACTAAAGGCTTTGTATTACTTTTAAAACATGCAGTATAACTCTGCTGCCACACCTTCAGTCTCTATGCAGTCTGGCTGGTCTGATGGTATAAAATATGTCAGTTCCAGATAAATCAGAGTTCAGATGGCATCATGTTCCTGCTCTAGGAGAATTTAATCGGGCACAGATAAGGTCTCTGAAGGGTATTTTCTCCTGCACTTTATGTATAATTTATAATCTGTCGGGTAAATTGTCACACTGTTCACAACTCCAACACTAGAGGCTCTATATCAAAAATCCAAATCAAATAATTCTTTAGTCGACTTCCTGTTCACATGTGGTCAAGGTCAATCTAATCTGAGGTGAGCACAATTTTCTTATTTTCCGCTTCAAAAGTAGAACATTTGCACTTTACATTTTATGCAATATAACTATGTTAGGTATGAATGTTAAAAATTAAAATATTGCACAAACTACAGGAGACAGCAATGTGTCTTTTGATATTTTAGCTTAAAGTGGTGTTTTGAATTAACCTTATTTTTTAGCCAACATTATCGCACATGTCAGTTTGGGGCAAGTCGTCACATGTGACATTTATTTTTAGTTTGTGATGATCCAGTGTGACAACTTACCTGCCAATGAAGCAAATTGTCACAAGTGCACACTCTGTATTCAACTGTCAACAACTCTGTGATTAGATAAGAGATGAAGAGGAAATGAACTCAAAATATCTGCCCAAGACTTCCTTCTTTCATGTGTGAAACATACCCTGCTCTCCCTTACAATAAGAAAAATATTAATATATCCTTGTTGAATACATCAACTGTATACTTACACTGTATCAGCTAATCAACCAACTAATGTTATTTTGTATTTACATTTTTTTTTCATAAAAAAAAAAAGAGACTTTAGGCCTACAGAAATGTAACAGTTAAGTGTCAAACATTGCCCAGTGAACCTGCTGGGTAATGATGTGTAACCCATCTGAAAGGTCTTCATTTCATTTCTATCATGAAAGATAACCAAAACAAAACACATGATTTATTATTGTGTTTTTTTATGTTGTGTTTTGAGAGGTAAATACCTCATCACTGTGTAGTATTGACATAACAATAAAGAATTTATCTGAATGACAGCTGTAGGATTGTTTGCTCATTTTTCCAGGCCCCTATCCCACACAGTCCAGGGTTAAACCCTGAGAAACTATCAGACAGATCTTTCAACAGGAGGACTGTGAGCCAAAGCCAGCATGTGATTCCTGATGGGATGCCTCTCTTGCCTCTCTTCAAACTTGGTATCAGACATAAAAGAATAGGGACCACTCTATAATAGGGAAAGCTTTACTAATGCTATATAGATCATTTAGATAAATCAGTTTGATCAGTTATATCAGTTATATTTGATCAGTTAGTCCATCAATGAAAGTTAAATGTCCAACATATTTTGGTTTGAATAACAGATGCATTAATTTGAAGGTTCGTCAGACACCAAAACTGTGCTG